ACTAAACCAAAGATACACAAGTCCAGATGGGACCAAATGTTGCCCTCCCAAGCAACAACCATCAACAAGCCCAATAATCATCCCATACACACAAATACAGAAAAAGACCCAGAACCCGACACGAAAACAGCAAATCCACCATAAGTATAATATAAATGAGCGATCCAATTCATCTCATGACGCCCCCTCGACAACCAAGCCCCTCAGAGATGATGTATGATGAGGAGAGCGCAATGACTACACATGAATAAATAGCCTGTAGAGTGCCCAGCACGTATTGGGGTATAGAGTCTGCGGTAGAGGAATGGGTGGATCATGAGGTCAGGAGTTTGAGACCAGCTTGGCCAACATGGTGAAACCCTGTCTCTACTAAAAATAACATAAATTAGCTGGGCATGGTGGCAAGTGCCTGTAATCCCAGCTACTCCGGAGGCTGAGGCAGGAGAATCACTTGAACCCAGGAGACAGAGTTTGTGGTGAGCAGAGATTGCGCCACTGCACTCCAGCCTGGGTGAGAGAGCAAGACTCCATCTAAAAAAAAAAAAAAAAAAAAGAAAGAAGACTGTTATGTAGCCATAAGAAGAAATGGAATATTGATAGATTCTACAGTGTGGATAAAACTTGAAAACATCATGCTGAAAGAAGCCAGACGCAAAAGGCCACTCACATGTTGTATAATTTCACCTATATGAGGTACCTAGAATAGGCAAATGTATAGAGACAGAAAGTTGAATAGAAGATACCAGGGGCTCGGAGGAAGGGCATGGGGAGTTACTGTTTAATGGGTACAGAGTGCATTACTCTGTGGGTACATGACTGCATTTATTTATTTTGTTTTGTTTTATTTGAGATAGTTTTGCTTGTTGCCCAGGCGGGAGTGCAATGGCGCGACCTTGGCTCATTGCAACCTTCACCTCCCAGGTTCAAGTGATTCTCCTGCCTCAGCCTTCCTAGTAGCTGGGATTACAGGAGCCTGGTACCATGCCCAGCTAATTTTTTGTATATTTAGTGGGAGACGAGGTTTCACCATGTTGGTCAGGCTGGTCTCAAACTCCTGATCTCAGGTGATCCACCTACCTCAGCCTCCCAAAGTGTCAGGATTACAGGTGTGAGCCACCGTACCCAGAATATGACTGCATTTATGTGAAATGTCTAGAACATGCAAATCCACAGAGCTGGAAACTGAATGATGCTTACCAGATGCTGAAGGAAGACAGAATTTAAAATATTTTAGAACTAGATAGGGGTGGTAGTTGCACAGCATTGTAAATACACTAAAAGCCACTGAATTGTACACTTTAAAATGGTAAATTTCGTGTTATGTGAATTTTATCTAAATTAAAAATTAGGCTGGGCACGGTGGCTCACACCTGTAATCCCAGCACTTTGGGAGGCCGAGGCGGGCGGATCACTAGGTTAAGAGATCGAGACCATCTTGGCCAACATGGTGAAACCCCATCTCTACTAAAAATACAAAAATTAGCCAAGCATGGTGGCATGCACCTGTGGTCCCAGCTACTTGGGAGGCTGAGGTGGAAGAATCACTTGAACGCAGGAGGCAGAGGTTGCAATGAGCCGAGATTGTGCCACTACACTCCAGCCTGGTGACAGAGCAAGACTCCGTCTCAAAAATAAAATAAAATAAATAATTAATTAATTAAAAATAATACATCAGGCCGGGCGCAGTGGCTCAAGCCTGTAATCCTAGCACTTTGGGAGGCCGAGGTGGGTGGATCACAAGGTCAAGAGATCGAGACCATCCTGGTCAACATGGTGAAACCCCGTCTCTACTAAAAATACAAAAAATTAGCTGGGCATGGTGGCGCGGGCCCGTAATCCCAGCTACTCAGGAGGCTGAGGCAGGAGAATTGCCTGAACCCAGGAGGCGGAGGTTGCGGTGAGCCGAGGTCACACCATTGCACTCCAGCCCGGGTAACAAGAGCAAAACTCCGTCTCAAAAAGTAAATAAATAAACAGTACATCAGACTCTTGTAGAGAGTTTCTCACTTTCCTTCTAATGCCGTGTCCATAATTCTCTTACACGGTCCTTCGTTTTGTCCCTCTCTCCACGCTGTCTGTGAGTGTATGTGGGAGGGGCTGTGTGAGAGCAGAACCTGGGGATAAAGGAGCATTTCCTGAGTCCTCCAAGGGAGTGCCAGGGCTCTGGGAATTTGCCCATTCTCCTCACTCTGGATTAGGAATGAGGGTGGAAAGGAGTGTTCCCTCTACATAGGATCCAAAAACGTCAGAGCTGGGCAAGCCATTAGAAAACAAGTCTAAAGCCCTCAGACTTCAGATGGGCAAACTGAAGCCCATGGAGAAGGGACTTACTCTGGACCACAAAACCAGGCAGTCGGCCGGGCACAGTGGCTCACGCCTGTAATCCCAGCACTTTGGGAGGCTGAGGTGGGTGGATCATGAGGTCAGGAGATCAAGACCATCTTGGTCAACATGGTGAAACCCCCTCTCTACTAAAAATACAAAAGTTACCTGGGCATGGTGGTGCACACCTGGTCTCAGCTACTTGGGCAGCTGAGGCAGAAGAATTGCTTGAACCCAGGAGGCGGAGGTTGCAGTGAGCCGAGATTGTGCTATTGCACTCCAGCCTGAGTAACAAGAGCAAAACTCCGTCTCCAAAAAAAAAAAAAAAAAAAAGTTAGCTGGGCATGGTGGTGTGCACCTGTAGTCCCAGCTACTCAGGAGGCTGAGGCAGGAGAATTGCTTGAACCCAGGAGGTGGAGGTTGCGGTGAGCCGAGATCGCCCCATTGCACTCCAGCTTGGGTAACAAGAGCGAAACTCTGTCTCAAAAAAACAAAACAAAACAAAACAAAAACCCCGGGGAAGGATGGGAGGGGTCTGCCGAAGCCAGGACTGCAAAGGCCTGTGCTATCATCTGCTTCTCGGGCTACTTGCCACCTCACAGTGAGAGGCCCTGGGCATGGTTAGAGGGTTGGCAAGAAGGTTTAGGGAGTGGGAGGAAGAAAGCTATTGAGATTTTTGAAAACAAGCTGCCTACTCTCTGGCCTTAAGCTAGGGGCGAGCAGAAAGGAAGCTGCACTCACACAGGCTCCTGTCCCAGCACACCCTGCCCACACAGAAGCTCCCAGGCTCAAGTCGGGACCTCATCCCACCCTACCACCTTCCAGCTCTGCTCTCCGGAGCAGCCTCTGCTCTGCAGGAGCATCCTGGCTCTTATCAGGCACCCAGAGACACAGAGGCAAGGCTTCTGGTGCCCCCTGCTCCAGCGGGCCATGGGGGTCTGTGGGACAGCAATAGCACCTACGTATCTTCCATGCCTGGGGACCCCCAGCTGTTTGTGCACCTGTAGTCCCAGCTACTTGGGAGGCTGAAGTAGGAGGATCGCTTGGGCCCAGGAGTTTCAGACTGGCCTGGGGAATATAGTGAGACCCTAAATGAAAAAAAAAAAAATGTAACCACAGCTCAGCCTACATACACTTAGCTGACAACCATGAACAATCATTCCAACCCCACATGCAAATGAACCTAGAGGTTTTTGCTTTTTTGTTTTTTGAGACAAAGTCCTGCTCTGTTACCCAGGCTGGAGTGCAATGGCACGATCTTGGCTCATTGCAACTTCCTCCTCCTGGGTTCAAGCGATTCTCCCTGCCTCAGCCTCCCGAGTACCTGGTATTACAGGTGCCTGCCACCATGCCTGGCTAACATTCATATTTTTAGTAGAGATGGGGTTTCACCATGATGGCCAGGCTGGTCTCAAACTCCTGACCTCAGATGATCCATTTACCTTGGCTTCCCAAAGTGTTGGGATTACAGTAGTGAGCCACTGCGCCTGGCCAAACCTAGAGGTTTTGAAAGCCTTTGGTGGGGTGGGTTAGGGGGTGGTCTCTGCATCTGGATCTGCCTAAAGAACCACTCTTTCACTACAGCTAAAGTGCAGCTCTGAGACGGAAGCAGGGTGAAGGCATGGACACCCCTTTCCCCCACATACCCAGCACTTCACTCCCCAGAACGCTGTGTGCCTTGCTGAATGCCACCAGCTTCGTGGACAATAGTTAACCCCAGCAAAGGAAGCCTTCCCAGACATTTCCAGGCCAACAACTCCCCTCCCGGCACCTCCCCTTCTCCAAGCCTAATCTTGGTGTCATGACCCAAGTTGCTGACGCAAGTTCCTGAGCTGCTGGGAGCCTGAGGAACTGCTGGGCCAGGGAGTCTGGAAGCTGTGGTGACTGGGAACCCCTGGAACTATGGAGGGCCAGCCACGTTGCTAGTCATGCTCTGTCTGCCAGGGTTGTCTCACCTAATTGCCATGCTTCAAAAAGCCCCATAGCTTCTCCTTGAGACGACAAATCTGAGCCCAGATCCCCTGTGCAGATGGCCCCCAACTCACCTTTCAGCTTCCCTGGGACCCTCCGGCCTTTGTTTCTACTCATTGCTGCCTCATTTGCTGGGAGCCCCTTGTCTTCATGCCTCTCTTCCATCACTGAGCCCCGTCCTTAGTTGTGATGCCACCGAGCTGAACACATTTGCTCTTTTCATTACATGGCATAAATAGTGACTGATGCCTACTTGCCATTACAGTTAGTGGCTCCTGTGGCCATAGTTGCTCCACTTATGTTAGTCCGAAGCCAGTTCATTCTCTGCCAGTCCCAGAGCACAGCCTCACAAATGCCGCCGTGCTTGCAAAGAACGTTGCTGTATCTTGTCATTGTCCAAATCCAAGGTAGGCATTTCCATGTGTGGCTTCCTTTAGACAACACTTAAGTTTACTGGGTGTTTATTGAACACTGACACTAGGTATTGTGACATGGTTCCCCAACAATAGTTAGTGACTTCTTTAGCCTGAGTATCACTAGAAAGGGGAGGTCGTGTCCAAACGTGCCAAGTCCTGGCTCAGAGCGTAGGCAAGAAGGGAAAAAAATGCAGGGGAATGGAAGCAGGAAATAAAGTAGATAAAGAGGGAAGAACAGCAGTGCTGAAGGTAGGTCCTGTATGTTTTCCATCTTGGAGACAGTAAACTGAGGCATATCACTTACTCTTTTTTTTTTTTTTTTTCCTGCGCAGGAGCCATGCTAATCTTCCCTGCATCGTTCCAATTTTAGTATATGTGCTGCTGAAGCGAGCACATAACTTACTATTTTTTTAATTTATTTTTTTGAGACAGAGTCTTGTTCTGCTGTCCAGGCTGGAGTGCAGTGGTGTAATGTTGGCTCACTGCAGCTTCTGCCTCCTTGGTTCAGGTGATTCTCCTGCCTCAGCTTCCCAAGTAGCTGGGATTACAAGCACACACCACCACGCCAGGCTAATTTTTGCATTTTTAGTAGAGACGGGGTTTCACCACATTGGACAGGCTGGTCTCAAACTCCTGACCTCATGTGATCTGCCCACCTCAACCTCCCAAAGTGCTGGAATTACAGGCATGAGCCATCATGCCCCGCCTTATTTTATTTTATTTATTTATTTATTTATTTATTTTTGAGACGGAGTTTTACTCTTATTACTCAGGCTGGAGTGCAATGGCGCAATCTCGGCTCACTGCAACCTCCGCCTCCTGGGTTCAGGCAATTCTCCTGCCTCAGCCTCCTGAGTAGCTGGGATTACAGGCACTCGCCACCATGCCCAGCTAATTTTTTGTATTTTTTTTAGTAGAGACGGGGTTTCACCATGTTGACCAGGATGGTCTAGATCTCTTGACCTCGTGATCCACCCGCCTTGGCCTCCCAAAGTGCTGGTATTACAGGCTTGAGCCACCGCGCCCGGCTATTTTATTTTTTTTTTGAGACAGGGTCTCGCGCTGTCACCCAGGCTGGAGTATAGTGGTGTGATCTTGGCTCATTGCAACCTCTGCCTCTCAGGCTCAAGCAATCCTCCCCACTTGAGTAGCTGGGACCACAAGCATGTGCCACCATGCTTGGCTATTTTTGTTGTTCTTGTTGTTGTATTTTTAGTAGAGATGGGGTTTCACCATGTTGTTCAGGCTGGTCTTGAACTCGTGAGCTCAAGAGATCCTCTCTCCTTACCCTCCTAAAGTCCTGGGATTACAGGTGTGAGCCACTGTGCCTGGCCTAATTTACTATTGTTTGCTATTCTGCCTCATTTAAACTTCACACCAACTCTACAGATAATGTGCTATTTCATTTTTACAGATGAAGAAATAAATGCCAAAAGATTAAGCACTTCACTCAAGGTCACCCAGCTAGTACAGAAACAGAGTTGGAACTCTTTTTTTTTTTTTTTTCTTGAGATGAAGTCTTGCTCCATCACCGAGGCTGGAGCGTAGTGGCGCAATCTCAGCTCACTGTAACTTTCACCAGAGGGTTCAAGCATTCTCCTGCCTCAGCTTCCTGAGTAGCGGGGACTCCATAGGCGTGGGCCACCACGTCTGGATAATTTTTGTATTTTTAGTAGAGACAGGGTTTTGCCATGTTGGCCAGGTTGGTCTCGAACTCCTGACCTCAGGTGAGCTGCCCCACCTCAGCCTCCCAAAGTGCTGGGATTACAGGTGTGAGCCACCACACCCAGCCATGAGTTGGAACTCTTTTTTTTTTTTTTTTTTTTTGAGACGGAGTTTCGCTCTTGTTACCCAGGCTGGAGTGCAATGGTGTGATCTCGGCTCACTGCAACCTCTGCCTCCTGGGTTCAGGCAATTCTCCTGCCTCAGCCTCCTGAGTAGCTCGGATTACAGGCATGTGCCACCATGCCCAGCTACTTTTTTGTATTTTTAGTAGAGACGGGGTTTCACCATGTTGACCAGGATGGTCTTGATCTCTTGACCTCGTGATCCACCCGCCTCGGCCTCCCAAAGTGCTGGGATTACAGGTGTGAGCCACCGCACCCGGCCATGTTGGAACTCTTGACCAAGCTCCTCTGAGTTCACTAGGCTATGCTTAGGCTGCTTTCATCAATAGAGACAAAATAATTGACCTCTTCGTGCCTTGGTTTTGCCATCCATGAAATAGCTGAATCATCCTAGTGTGACAAATATGAGATGTTGTCCTAGCCTGGTAGTCTTTGGAAGATCCACCTCTTTGGGATGGCAGTAGGGAGCTGTGCCCTCCTGGCAACACAGGGTGCCTGGGGACCTTGCTGGACAGGAGAATTCTGGAAAACAACCTCATTCCTGTCTTCAGCAGATCTGACGGGCCCAGAGGAGAAAGCCTGAAATAGAACTGGCTGCCCTTATGGGTTCAAGAGAGCTGTTTGTTTAGCTCTGAATAACCCATTCTATAAAGAATATTCTGGGAATTTCCTTATGTGGCAGGGCACTGGACTGGGTGATTTCACTGGGCCAGAGGAACTCTCCTCTCTATCCCCAGCAGCAGAGACAAGAATTGGCACTATGCAGCCTTGAGCAGTGAATGTTGAAAACATGGAAAGATCTTTGAAGTCATGAACTGCTGTCACAAGGAAGGTGGGATACAGTTCATCTCTATTTCTGCCAGGCTTGGATAAGAGGGCAGGGACTTTGAATATAGCCACAGGGAGTTAGATTTTAAAAAGAACTTACTGATAGAATCTCAGTTCTGTCAGGATAGAGGAAAGGAGCTGTGGAATCTATTTAGATCAGGGCTCTCCAACAGAAATATAATGGAGCAACATATATAATTAACAGTTTTTGTCTGTTTGTTTTGAGACAGGGTCTCACTCTCTCTCCCAGGCTTGAGTGCAGTGGCACGATCTCAGCTCACTGTAGCCTCTACCTCCTGGGCTCAAGCAAGCCCCTGCCTCAGCCGCCTGAGTAGCTGGAACTACAGGCGCATGTCACCATGCTTGGCTGAATTTTTATTTATTTATTTATTTATTTATTTATTTATTTATTTAGGAGACGGAGTTTCACTCTTGTTACCCAGGCTGGAGTGCAATGGTGCGATCTCGGCTCACTGCAACCTCTGCCTCCTGGGTTTAGGGAATTCTCCTTCCTCAGCCTCCTGAGTAGCTGGGATTACAGGCGTGCACCACCATGCCCAGCTAATTTTTTTTGTATTTTTAGTAGAGACGGGGTTTCACCATGTTGACCACGATGGTCTTGATCTCTTGACCTTGTGATCCACCCGCCTCAGCCTCCCAAAGTGCTGGGTTTACAGGCGTGAGCCACCGCGCCCGGCCGACTGAATTTTTTTTTAGTAGAGATGAGGTCTCAGTATGTTACCCACATTGGTCTTAAACTCCTGGCCTCAGGTGATCCTCCTGCCTTTCAAAGTGCTGGGATCACAGGCTTGAGCCACCACACCAGGCCTAAAAAATTTCTTACCTATTTTCTTTAAAAAGAAACAAGTGAAATTAATTTTTATTATAACATTGTTATGATTATGATTATGATTTTTTTTTTTTAGATGGAGTTTCACTCTTGTTGCCCAGGCTGGAGCACAATGGTGGGATCTCGGCTCACCACAACCTTTGCCTCCTGGGTTCAAGCAATTCTCCTGCCTCAGCCTCCCGAGTAGCTGGGATTACAGGCATGTGCCATCACACCTGGCTACTTTTGTATTTTTAGTAGAGATGGAGTTTCTCCATGTTGGTCAGGCTGTTCTCAAACTCCCAACCTCAGGTAATCCTCCTACCTCAGCCTCCCATAGTGCTGGGATTATAGGCGCGAGCCACCACACCCACACCCACCACACCCAGGCAGGTCTGGGGACATAGGAGGACAGTCCCAGGCTACCTTGTCTTACCTGCACTCTTCTCCCTGTCTGTGGCAATCCTCCAGGTGTCTGCATGGCCCTCTCCATAATGACCTTTGCGTAAATGTCATTGTTTCTAACAGAGCCATTCTGCCCAGCTCAACTCCATCAATCTCTCTTCTTACCCTGCTTTCTTTCCCTGTTTTTTCCAAAAAAAAAAAAAAAAAAAAAAAAAAAAATCATATTTGGGTTTTATTTAGAATTATATTAAATTTATGGACAAATTGGGGAAGAAATTAATCCGTGTGTGTGTGTGTGTGTGTGTGTGTGTGTGTGTGTGTGTGTTTAAGACGGGGTTTCACCATATTGGTCAGGCTGGTCTTGAACTCCCGACCTCAGGTGATCCGTGCCCGTCTTGGCCTCCAAAGTGTTTGGATTACAGGCGTGAGCCACCACGCCCGGCTTTTTTTTTTTTTTTTTTTTTTTTTTTTTTAAGACAGAATCTCACTCTGTCTCCCAGGTTGGAGTGCAATGACACAATTTCAGCTCATTTCAACTTGACTCCAACTCCCAAGTTCAAGTGATTTTCATCCCTCAGCCTTCCAAGTAGCTGGGACTACAGGCATGAGCCACCATGCCTGGTTATTTTTTTATTTTTATTTTTGTATTTTTAGTAGAGATGGGTTTTCACCATGTTGGCCAGGCTGGTCTTGAACTCCTGGCCTCAGGTGATCCACCCACCACCATGCCCAGCCATCTTTATGATGTTGAACCTTCCTATTCATAAACCTGGTAGATCTTGCCATTTTTTTCTCTTAGATTCGGTAGGTACATGTGCAGGTCTGTTATGAGGTACGCTGGATGGTGCTGAGGTTTGGACAGAGAGTGAACACAGTGCTCAACAGGAAGTTTTCTCCTCTCTTTCCTTCCCTGCTTTTGGAGTCCCCAGTATCCACTGCTCCCATTTTTGTGTCCATTTGTACTCACTGTTTAGCTCCTGCTTATCAGTGAAAACGTGTAATAGTTGATTTTCTGTTTCTGGGTTAATTTGCTTAGGATAATGGCTTCCAGCTGCATTTATGTTGCTGCAAAGGACATGATTTTGTCATTTTTTTTTTTTATGGCTCCATAGTATTCCATGGTGTATTTTCTCACCGCCACCTGAGCTTATACGTTTAGTTGTTCATTGTCTGCCTTCTCCATTAGAATGTGAACTCAGTGAGGGCGGAGACCTCATCTGGCTCACCACTGTGCACCCACAGCTTAGCTCAGTGTTCAGTATATAATTGGTGCTCAATAAATACTTTCTTCTGAAAAAAAAAAAAAATTCATACAGAGAAGAATCAATGCAGTGACAGAGCCATATTTCACACTTCCATTTTTTCTCTCAGATTTCTGAATTTAGATCCATTTACTTCAGAGAATAACAGACATTTTCCAAGTGTCTTGGATGAGAATACCTTCACTTCTTTTTTTATTTTTTTATTTTATTTTTTGTTTCTTACCTTCACTTCTTTTATTCCTACAAATTCAGATTGGCTTAATCTTCCTGAATAGTTAGAAGAAGTTTCTTCCCCTTCTGTATCATTATTAGGGATCAAATAAGTTATTCTTTGTTAACTAATTTTTTTTTTTTTTTTTTTTTTTTTTACAGAGTTTCACCTCGTTGCTGAGGCTGGAGTGCACTGTCATAATCTCGGCTCACTGTAACCTCCGCCTCCCAGGTTCAAGCGATTCCCCCACTTCAGCCTTCCAAGTAGCTGGGATTACAGGTGTGTGCCACCATATCGGGCTAATTTTTGTATTGTTAGTACAGATGGGGTTTCATCATATTGGCCAGGCTGGTCTCGAACTCTTGATCTCAAGTGATCCACTTATTTCAGCCTCCCAAAGTGCTGGGATTACCGGCGTGAGCCACTGCGCCCGGCCAAATTTTTTTTGGCCGGGCGCAGTGGCTCACGCCGGTAATCCCAGCACTTTGGAGGCCAAGGCGGGCAGATCATCTCAAGTTGGGAGTTCAAGACCAGCCTGACCAACATGGTGAAATCCCGTCTTTACATTTTACAAAAAGAAAAATTTTTTTAAAAAATTCTGTTAGGTAAAAATAATGATAAGGGGAGGAAACTGCGGTGTTATGGGCAAGGCCAGACAACTCAGCTAGCCTCACAACATTCTCTACCATGATAGCAAAGGGGTCTCACAGTCCTGAAGAAAGATCTCAGAGCTCTGTATTGCTAGAACAATATACCCCATTCTCCTCGCAATCTGGCGGAAGGACAGAGATCCTTTGTATTTACAAAGGAAGAAAACAAGAAGGCAAGAGAGATTCTCCTTACTGCTGAGTCTGCCCCAAGACAGTAGTGAGACAGTACTCGCTTGGGTCACAGAACATGGGGGCCAACTCTCTTCCTACTCCACAGCTACATTCCAGAGAACGGCATTTTCTGAGCACAGGTGGTCCCCAGGGCCAGGCAACAAAGGCCTTATCAGACCAACTGGAAAAGAGAAGCTGGTGTCTCCAAACCCACTTCAAACTCCAAACTTCAAAGTTTCCATTCTCTGCGCCAGGCACATTTTATTTTTCCCTGGGTTGCAGTGTGCAGACCTGAGCTCACCTAAGAGCCTGGGACAGCCCATCCATGTCGGCAGCCTGGTTCCCTAGAGCCGTCTCATCCTTGTGAGTTGATAATTTAGCATGGCTCCCCGAAGCAGGCCTTAGTACAGGACTCTGATGATGCTGAAGAATTTTCAAACCAAAGGAATGAATTGCCAAGAATAAAGCAAGTTGGAGGAGATGCTTTTCAGCTTGAGGCCTGCCCAGCATCACACTGTGTGTCACTCGATAATCTCTCAATTACATATTATACAGTTAATCCTGTTGAAACGACTATAGGAACTCAGCAAAATAAGTCAGAAGATCCTCTTTGACCTCTATCCCAAGCAAACATCACCATATGATATGTCAAGGCATGGGAGGGAGCTGGAAAGTTCCACTAAAGCTAAGTCCAAATAAAGCCGGGCTCTGGGTGGGACGAACCCTGAGCAATGGCATCCTGCTAGTTTGCTTTTCTTTCCACGTCTATCACCTCTGTCAGTATTCTCCTTAGGCAGTGTCAAGTGAACAGAACTTGAGGGGTAGAACACAAGCGTTTGACAACGTGCTCTGCCATATGATAACTGAATCTTGGGCATATTTTCTAAGAATTTTTTTCTTTTAGAGACAGTGTCGCTCTGTCACCCAGGTTGGAGTGCAGTGGTGCCATCATAGCTCACTGCAGTCTCAAATTCCTGGACTCAAGTGATCCTCTCACCTCAGCTTCCTAAGTAGCCGAGACTATAGGTACATGTCACCACACCTGGCTAATTTGTAAATGTTTTGTTTTGTTTTTGAGACAGAGTTCCACTCTTGTTGCCCAGGCTGGAGGGCAATGGAGCCATCTTGGCTCACTACAACCTTCCCTTCCCGGCTTCAAGCCATTCTCCTGCTTCAGCCTCCCAAGTAGCTGGGATTACGGACATATGCTACCATGCCCAGCTAATTTTTAGTGTTTTTAGTAGAGACAGGGTTTCACCATGTTGGTCAGTTTGGTCTTGAATTCCTCACCTCAGGTGATCCATTTGCCTTGGCCTCCCAAAGTGCTGGGATTACAAGCATGAGCCACCACCCCAGCCATGGTTTTTTTTTTTTTTTTTTTTTTTTTTTTTTTTTTTGAGATGAAGTCTTGCTCTGTCACCCAGGCTGGAGTGCAGTGGTGCAATCTCAGCTCACTGCAACCTCCACCTCCCAGGTCTAAGCGATTCTCTTGCCTCAGCCTCCTGAGAAGCTGGGACCACAGGCATGTGCCACCACTCTCGGTTAATTTTTTGTAGTTTTATTAGGGATGGGGCTTCACTGTGTTAGCCAGGATGGTCTTGATCTCCACCAGCTTCGGCCTCCCAAAGTGTTGGGATTACAGGCGTGAGCCACCGCGCCCAGTCAACTTCCTCCTTTTAATAAGAACATAGGATTAGGCTCATCCCAATGTCCTCATCCTAACTTCACTGTATCTGTAAAGACCCTAACTCCAAATGAGGTTGAATTCTGAGGTACTAGGGGTTAGGGTGTTAACATACATTTGTGGGGGGTGAAGGAAACGATTCAACCCATAACACTTACTTTTCTTACCTCTAAATTGGGATTAGAATAAAACATTTCTTCATATAATTGCAGTGGTTATGAAAGTATCTCAAAGAGGCTTGGTTCCTAGAAGCTCAGTGGACATCTGGGTTGTCTGAATGTGCCTGTGCCTTGGAACTGTCTGGGTCAGACTGCACCTGTAGGGCTCAGGGCTCAGGGTGGGTAATCATCCTGTGAGTGTCCAATACAGGTAAACAGGTGCTTGGCCAATGCATGTCTCTGATGGTGAAGACGTTTAAAGGCTGGAGAGAAAAATCTGCTGATAAGCCAGAAAAAGTCTGATAGCAAGTGCTGGAGAGGTTGTGGAACCTCAGGAGCCCCCATGGAAGTTGTCTGAGCATGCACTGGTACAAACACTCTGGCAATATGCCAAAAAGGCAAAGCTGTATATGGGAGCAATCCCACTCTTAGGTGTAGGCGTATACTCTAGAGAAATGCCTACATAGGTGCCCCAGGAGATGTGTGTAAAAAAATTCATAGCAGCATTGTTAGACCTAAAAACGAAAAATAACTTACATTTTCTCAATGTGCTACAAGCATATAGTGGGATACTATGCTACACAGCAGGTAAAGTCAATTAAAGAGTTAGGCAAATAGCACGGATGAACCTCACTAACAAATATTGAGCAAAAAAGAGCAGATTGTAGAGGGGTGGCGGGAGCGGAAAAAAAAAAAGAGCAGACTGCAGAAGAATAAAGACAATGAGTAGGGCAAAACCAATGATATATTGCTTAGAATGCATATGTAAGTAATCGCATAAATAATGTAAGGAAGTATGAGCATGATAAACGCCAGGTTCAGCAGGCAGAAGTGGAAGTGCACAGAGAGCTTCAACAGCTGATTTTTTAAATTGCATTTTAGGTTTTGGGGTACATGTGAAGAACATGCAAGATCGCTGCATAGGTACACACGTGGCAGTGTGATTCGCTGCCTTCCTCCCCCTCACCTATATCTGGCATTTCTCCCCATGCTATCTCTCCCCAACTCCCACCCCCCCGCTGTCCCTCCCCTATTTCCCCCCAACAGACCCCAGTGTGTAGTGCTTCCCTCCCTGTGTCCATGTGTTCTCATCGTTCAACACCCGCGTGAGTGAGAACATGCGGTGTTTGATTTTCTGTTCTTGTGTCAAGTTTGCTGAGAATGATGGTTCCCAGGTTCATCCATGTCCCTACAGAGGACATGAACTCATCGTTTTTTATGGTTGCATAATATTCCATAGTGTATATGTGCCACATTTTCCCTGTCCAGTCTATCATCGATGGGCATTTGGGTTGGTTCCAGGTCTTTGCTATTGTAAACAGTGAGCAGCTGATTTTTTTAAACTGGTGATGAGTAAAGAGTCTTGGTTATCTTACTCTTTATAACTTCTGTATGTTTGAAATATAACTTTTTTTTTTTTCTTTTTGAGACAGTCTTGTTCCGTTGCCAGGCGCCAGGCTGGAGTGTAGTGGCGTGATCTCAGCTCACTGCAACCTCCGCCTCCTGGGTTCAAGCAATTTTCCTGCCTTCAGCCTCCCAAGTAGCTGGGACTACAAGTGTGTGCCACCACGCCCAGCTAATTTTTGTATTTTTAATAGAGACAGGATTTCACCATGTTGGCCAGGATGGTCTCAATCTCCTGACCTCGTGATCCACCCGCCTTGGCCTCCCAAAGTGCTGGTATTACAGGCATGAGCCACCGCGCCAGGTCAAAATATAATATTTTTTAAAGAGCCAGGACTTGAGGAGAGTCATATAAAGGAGACTGAGATACCGGGGGACAATTTCTACTCATGGGAAGATTCAGAGCTGTTCCTGCCATCCCCTGGAACCCAGAATCCAGAGAAAATTTGCTAGACTGACATCTGCTAGGCAGGAGGGAAGAGACCCTGCAAGGTAAAGCTAGGGGGATGAAAGGAGGGAAGGACACTCCTGTTGCCTCTCTTTGATCTGAATCCAGTTACTGGCCTGCACGCCAGCCCTGGGCTGCAGAGAAGGTCAGGCAGAAGAAACGGCTGGGCAGCCCGGGGGAGCCTGGGAGGGATGCAGAGAAGGGCTGGGGCCACACACGTAGGGAGGTGCACTCTGGCTGCCGCCCCCACACAGTGACAGGCGCTTCCTTGCAAACCACCTGGCACGGGCACCCTGACAGTTTACAGCACTGTTTCTCTCTCTCTCTCTCTCTCTCTCTCTCTCTCACACACACACACACACACACACACACACACACACACACACGCCCCGTCACCGCCTGCTCTGACCAGGACCCCAGCGTTGGGGACGTGGCCAAGTCTGCCAGCTGTGGGCCCTGCCAACCCTCCCTCTCTTCTAGGACTGGGTTTTTCCAGCCAGAGTCTCACTCCCTCTACAGCAATCTCGGGAAACTAAAGACCGACGCGGCTGCTCCTGCACGGTATTTCTCCCCTCTTTCCCTCCCGCGAGACCCTCCTGTTGGGAGGAGAGGCAGGCAGGAAGCGGCAGAGAGGCCCCCGCTGAGCAGCCCCAGGCTCGCTCCTCCGGCAGGGGCCATGAGCACCAAGCAGGAGGCCAGGAGGGATGCGGGAGAAGCCAGGACCAGCGGGCAGGAGGCACAGCTTCGGGACCGAGCCCACCTGAGCCAGCAGCGCCGGCTCAAACAAGCCACTCAGTTCCTGCACAAGGACTCAGCCGATCTGCTCCCGCTGGACTCCCTCAAGAGGCTGGGCACCTCCAAGGACTTGGTGAGGCACCCCCTCCCCCTCCAGCGTCCCCCGGCCCTTTCCTTCCACTTCCCAGATCCCGAGCGGCAGTGGCAGGACATAAAGCGCAGACCCTCAGCGTTCAGGTCTTGCTCCCTTACTGCGACGGGGAGAGGTCATCCTGCCAACTCGAGGCTCTTCACTGGCAATGTTCCTATGGTTCAGTGGCTCTGAGGGGGTCCTACTCTCATTGCTCGGCTTCCTCGACATTTTCCTCTCGTGGCCCAAAACTTGAGGGTGGTGAGGAGCTAGGCTGTTTGGGAGTGGGGGCTTACGGGAACACGGGAACCCTCTAGAGTGTTCACTGAAAATCGGGAGGACCTGGAGGACTGGCCAGTTTAGGGTTGTGACCTCCTGCTCCTCCTGAACCACAGATTTCCTCTAACGGGTCTGTCCATTCATTTGCCCCTTTTCTTCAGAATCAAAGCATTGGCGGGGGTCGGGGGTTCCTCCATCCTTCCCAGGGCATCAGGGTTTTGCGTGGCTCTTGCCAGGGGTCCCTGGCCACCTCAAGCGCTGCTCCCCCACGCCTAAGTGGAATGGACCTTCCAGGCTCCTCTCCTCCCATCTGTCTGCAGCAGCTTTAGCCTCAGAGAAACGGGGCAGGGGAGTAACAGTGAGGAGGTGAGTGGGCGGGGGACAATTGCAGATTCAGGCAGTGCTGACCAGCGGGGCTGCGGGGCCACTTGGCTTGGGATCAGATCCTGGCTCTGCCACTTACTACCTTGGGCAATTGACTTTACGTCTCCGTGCCTCAGTTTCTACATCTGTTAAATTAGAATAAAATTAATAGTATCTCCCTCATAGGACTGTTGGGAGAGCTGTTAGAGCTAATACATATAAAGTGCTTAGAACAGTGCCGATCGCAGGCACTACCTCAATGCTATTACTATTCCCCCAGCTACTATTGCATTTAGTCTGATAAATATACCTGGCCTCTGACCCATGGAAGAGAGGAAGTCCTTTGTAGAAAGGCTTCAGAGCACTGGGTTCCCTGACCCCTCTCCTAGTCTGAGAAGAGGTACTCAACCAGGCCTGGCCGAGATGTTGGAAGCATGTCTGCAGGCCTGCACTCCATCAGCTGCTTCTCCCCAGGAACCTGAAGGCCAATTACCTTTCCTGACCTAGCTTCACCTTTCCAGACTCCTCTCAGCCTGGGTTGCCCCCAGCAGGACCCCAGCCCAGAGGCCTGGCCACTCTCTAGGTCCCAATGAGGAAAAAAGACTGTACTGAGACTTCAATTCAGGGAACTGCCAGGGCCCGATTCCTCCTTGCAGTGGCAGCAAGCACAGCTGAAAAACAGGCATGGAGCCGGGAAGCGAGTTCTTTGGCTCTCAATGGCTAGAACCTACTGGGGAACAGCCTACATCTGTTTGGCCCAGGAGAATGTGCTCTACAGACACTGCTATCCCAGACCGGCAGGTCCTGCCTTCTGATGAGAAAGCCCTGGGCTTTTCACCGCTCCCTTCTGCCTAGGATCTCCCCAGCTGATCTCTAGCAGTTACCTCCTGTGGCTTTGGGAGGGAAGGCACAACTGGTAGGAGAGACCCTATCGTCTCCCTCCCTGGGATGGCTGTGGAGCCAACTGCACAACAGTGAGAGAGGTCTGAAAGCTGTGTCTATCGTGGGAAGGTGGAAGATGAGAAATGCAGAGCCAGTCTCTCCAACCAGGCCCAGAACTCACTGCACTTTTCCCAGCGCTGGGTCTCCTGCTGCCAGTTTTGCTGCCAGGAGCAACCCCAAGGGCCTCATTAATCTAAGGGAAGAAAAACACTCCCAGGCTCCCAAGGAGAGAGGGCAGGTGGAGGGGTGTGTAGAGCCTAGGGGAAGAGTCAGTCTGCAGCAACCATTTATTGAGTGCCTACTAGATGCTGAGCCATGCCCTGGGATATAAAGATGAGTGAGATACTCAAGGACTCTCCAGGCTGATGGGGGAGTAAAATCCATACATAACATTTGTAAGCATGGCAAAGGGACCCCAGCCTGGGGTGTATGAAGAGAGGAGCATGGAGAGCTCAGACAGGGTATCCTGGAGGAGGTACCTCCTGCATTAATTATAGGATGTACACGGAATCCCAAACTTAAGATACAAACTCTGGGCTGTGCCTCCCCTTCAAAAGCTTGGGCTCTAGCATGTAAGCAATGCAGGGTAGGGTTGCGGGGGGTGGTGGGGGTCTTTGATGCTTTTTTTTTTTTTTTTTTTTTTTTTGAGACGGAGTTTCGCTCTTGTTACCCAGGCTGGAGTGCAATGGCGCGATCTCGGCTCACCGCAACCTCCGCCTCCTGGGTTCAAGCAATTCTCCTGCCTCAGCCTCCTGAGTAGCTGGGATTACAGGCACGCACCACCATGCCCAGCTAATTTTTAGTATTTTTAGTAGAGACGGGGTTTCACCATGTTGACCAGGATGGTCTCGATCTCTCGACCTCGTGATCCACCCACCTCGGCCTCCCAAAGTGCTGGGATTACAGGCTTGAGCCACCGCGCCCGGCCTTTTGATGCATTTTAAACAAGGGAGTATGCCAGGCGAGATGGCTCACACCTGTAACCCAAAACTTTGGGAGGCTGAGGCAGGCAGATCACCTGAGATCAGGAGTTCAAGACCAGCCTAACCAACATGGTGAAACCTGTCTCCACTAAAAATACAAAAATTAGCTGGATGTGGTGGCAGGTGCCTGTAATCCCAGTTACTCAGGAGGCTGAGGCAGGAGAATTGCTTGAACCCAGGAGGCAGAGGTTGCAATCAGCTGAGATTGTGCCACTGCACTCCAGCCTGGGTGACACAGCAAGACTCCATCTCAAAAAAAAAAAAAGAAAAGAAAAGAAAAAAAAAAGGAGTACATGGTTAGTTTTTTTTTTTTTAATTTTTTTAAAGACGGGGTTTCACCATGTTGGTCAGACTGGTCTTGAAACTCCAGATCTCAGGTGATTCGCCTGCCTTAGCCTCACAGAGTGCTGGGATTACAGGTGTGAGCCACCGTGTCTGGCCCCATGGTTAGTTTTATGTTTTACTTTGGTGCTTCTCAAACTTTAACCTGCACATGCTGTGCATGAATCACCTGGGGATCTTGTCACAATGAAACATCTGATTCAGTAGTTATGGGAGTATACATTTTAAAGAAACTTCGAAATCATGTTCAAGTTGCTGATCCAAGGACCACAGTTTAGAGTAGCAAGGTTTTTAGCTTGCTTCCAGTCTGAAGCTCCGAGCAGATGTATTTGAAAGGCAACAGAACTGGAGGCAGATTCTTATGAACTTAGGAAGGTGTTCCAGGCATCCACGAGAGCTGTGGGGAGTCTGGAATGCAGGCAGTAACAGAAAGGAAGGATGGAAGCCAGGCAGTGTAGTATACACCTGTGGTCCCAGTTGCTCAGGAGGCTGAGGCTGGAGAATGCCTTGAGCCAAGGAATTAGAGCCCAGTCTGGGCAGCACAGCAAGATCCCACCTTGAAAGAAAAGAAGACAAAAGAAAGAAGAGAGAGAGAGAGAAAGGAGGGACAGATTGATTCCAGACAAAAGGCAAAACTTGCAGAATTTGGGAAGTGATTAGATGGGAACGGGAGTAGTTTCAGATGAGGGACAGGTCAAAGATGACTCCCAACATCAGTTCTTTTTTTTTTTTTTTTTTTTTTTTAAATAAGACGGGGTTTCACCATGTTGGTCAGGCTGTTGAATTCCTGACCTCAGGTGATCCACCTGCCTTGGCCTCCAAAGTGCTTGGATTATAGGCGCATCAGTTCTTAGGAATTTTTTTTTTTTTTTTTTTTTTTTTTGAGACAGAGTCTTGCTCTGTCACCCAGACTGGAGTGCCGTGGTGTGATCTTGGCTCACTGCAACCTCTGCCTTCCAGGTTCAAGTGATTGTCCCACGTCAGCCTCCCAAGTAGTCGGGACTACAGGCACACACCACCATGCCCAGCTACTTTCTGTATTTTTAGTATAAGAGTGGTTTCACCATGTTGGCCAGGCTGGTCTCGAACTCCTGACCTCAAGTGATCCACCCACCTCGGCCTCCCAAAGTGCTGGGATTGCAGGCGTGAGCCACTGTGCCTGGCCTAGTTCTTTAATTTCTTACTTCTTTTCATCACACCACCAACCCTGGGGTCTGCAGCCCACTGAAGGATAAAATCAGAGGGGAAGGAAAAAAAAAAAAAACAAAAAACTCCTAGTTAAAAAAAATGTTAATTTGAGACAAAATTTCCCCTCAGCATACAAGTTCCTGAAATGTCTCTTTGGCCACTAAGTCAGTTTAATTTAGAGACCATTCTCCTCTTCCCAATTCTTCACTGCCAAGCAATCTATTGGTGTCCCAGAAAAATGGCATGATTTGATACCGGGGCTCACTCTGCGCTCATTACTTAACTGCTGGGACCCTAGGGTAAGCTCCTAGGGTAAAGCTCAGGTCTAGGGTGGGGTTGGGGGAGCATCCTGGGATACCTAAGTCGGGTAACTGAGCAGCCTGGATATCTGGGTTTAGAACTGTATACCTTCATTGTTTTGTGATGGAGCCAGCAGCCACACAGTGTGATCCAAAGACGCCTGGTGGAGGGAAACCCGAATCGGCTTCAGGGAGAGTCTCCCCCTATGCAGGCCTTGATTCATGGCCAGGAGAGCAGGAAGACCAGCAAGACAGACAGTCCAGCTCTTCTGGTCAACTGCAAGGTGAGAAGCCTCCCAGGGACGCACTTTCATTAACCCTGCCTGTGGCTCACTTCACCTGCTCTCCTTTCTGCCCTGATGGGAGGGGAAGGGAGGGAGAAAGGGTACCTCTCTCCCTAGCCTGGACCTAACCATGTGACCAATCCTCTACCTCCTTCCTCCTTGCCTCAACCCATCTTCCCTCTGTGCAATTCCATCTGTCACCACCATTACTCTACCCCCCTTCCTTGGTCGAAATACAGTACTCAAATGTAAGTGAGTACTCCTCAGTGTGCTCTACACAGATGAATGGTGTGTGTGCATGGATAATGTAATTCTGGAAGAAACGCATATGTAAGGCATTGGGCCTGTGGTCCTAGTTCTTAAGAACTTTGATTATCTTAAGAACAAGGATCATGGCCGGGCGCGGTGGCTCAAGCCTGTAATCCCAGCACTTTGGGAGGCCGAGGCGGGTGGATCACCAGGTCAAGAGATTGAGACCATCCTGGTCAACATGGTGAAACCCCGTCTCTACTAAAAACACAAAAAATTAGCTGGGCATGGTGGCGCGTGCCTGTAATCTCAGCTACTCGGGAGGCTGAGGCAGGAGAATTGCCTGAACCCAGGAGGCGGAGGTTGCGGTGAGCCGAGATCGCGCCATTGCACTCCAGCCTGGGTAACAAGAGCGAAACTCCGTCTCAAAAAAAAAAAAAAAAAAAAAAAAAAAAAAGAACAAGGATCATCTCTGATCATCATTTCACCACTCAGTGACTACTGAAACATTCCCAACAAATTCCCACTCACCGTCTTTGCTCTGTGCTGCTTATCCCTGCATTGCTCTTCTTGCTCTCCAATCGTTCTGCGTCTACATTCTGTAAGCTTTCAAATCCCAGTTCAGATGTTACCTCCTTCTTGAAACCTTTTCTGATTTCCCCAGTAGGAAACAGCCTTTCCTCCCTCCCAACTTCTAAGGCATGCATGCTACTCACATCCTTTTATTCTGTTTTGAGATGGAGTCTCATTCTGTTGCTCAGGCTGGGGTACCGTGGCACAACCTTGGGTCACTGCAACCTCCACCTCATGGGTTCAAGAGATTCTCCTGCCGCAGCCTCTCAAGTAGCTGGGACTACAGGTGCATGCCACCATGCCTGGCTAATTTTTGTATTGTTAGTAGAGATGGGGTTTCACCATATTGGCCAGGATGGTCTCAAATTCCTGACCTCATGATCCACCCGCCTTGGCCTCCCAAAGTGTTGGGATTATAGGCGTGACCTACTGCACCGGCTCCTTTTATTTTTTATTTTTATTTTTTTTGAGACGGAGTTTCGCTCTTGTTACCCAGGCTGGAGTGCAATGGCGCGATCTCGGCTCACCGCAACCTCCGCCTCCTGGGTTCGGGCAATTCTCCTGCCTCAGCCTCCTGAGTAGCTGGGGTTACAGGCACGCGCCACCATGCCCAGCTAATTTTTTTGTATTTTTAGTAGAGACGGGGTTTCACCACGTTGACCAGGATGGTCTCGATCTCTTGACCTCGTGATCCACCTGCCTCGGCCTCCCAAAGTGCTGGGATTACAGGCTTGAGCCACCGCGCCCGGCCCTTTTATTTTTTACTTAGAGACAGGGTCTCAGTCTGTCACCCAGGCTGGAGTACAGTGGCATGATCACAGCTCATTGCAGCCTCAATCTCACGGACTCAAGCGATCCTCCCACCTCAGCCTTCTGAGTAGCTGAAATTACAAATGTGTGCTACCACGCCTGGCTAAATTTTTTTTGTTGTTTTAGTAGAGATAGGGGTTTCACCACGTTGGCCAAGCTGGTCTCGAACTCCTGGCCTCAAGCAATCCTTCCACCTTGGCCTCCCAAAGTGCTTGGATTATAGGCGTGAGTCACTGGGCCAGGCCACTCACATCCTTTCATAGACCTTAAAACTTTTGTCATGTAGTAGAGTTATATTTTACTTCCTTTAGACACCTAAACAGCATTCATTGATGTACCTTCCAGTAACATCTTATAGTAGATACTCAATGAATGTCTGGAATGAGAAAATGACATGTGCACATCCAAGTGTATATCAAAATGTCTGTGTATCTCCTAAAGTGAACGTGTTCTCCTTTGTTTCCAGTGGTGAACTTCTTGGTTACTGCATCTGAGTTTCCTAAAAGGGGATTCCAGTCTTCTCATCCTTCCTCTATTCCTAACCTGGAGTTTTCAAACCAGACCATGAAACTCCCAAGGATTCCTCTAAACAAATAAATCACCATGTCTCCATTTCTGGCACATCTTCCCCAAACTTATGAACTCATCACATATAACTCTACTTTTTTTCTTTTTCTTTTCTTTTTGAGACGGAGTTTCGCTCTTGTTACCCAGGCTGGAGTGCATATGGCGCGATCTCGGCTCACCGCAACCTCCGCCTCCTGGGTTCAGGCAATTCTCCTGCCTCAGCCTCCTGAGTAGCTGGGATTATAGGCACGCACCACCATGCCCAGCTAATTTTTTGTATTTTTAGTAGAGACGGGGTTTCACTATGTTGACCAGGTTGGTCTCGATCTCTCGACCTCGTGATCCACCCGCCTCGGCCTCCCAAAGTGCTGGGATTACAGGCTTGAGCCACCGCGCCCAGCCTTAACTCTACTTTTTTCTTTTCCCATTTTATTTTTTGTAGAGACAGGGTCTTGCTATGTTGCCTAGGCTGGTTTTAAACTCCTGGTTTCAAGTGATCCTCTTGCCTCAGCCTTCCAAAGTGTTGAACTACAGGCATGAGCCACCGCACCTGGCCCACTTCCTTTTTTGATTTCTTTATCTGGGAGTTTTGCCCCTATTGTATGAGTCTCATAAAAGCCAGTTTTAAAGACAGTTACTTTTATCCCCTCATTTCTAAAAGGGAATCATCGATGGGCTGGGAAAATGAAGGCTCCAATCCCAACCCAGTCTCCTAGGGACTCACTCACTGATCCACCGCAATCCCTCTTTCTTAGTGCCAGGACCAGCTGCTTAGAGTGGCCGTGGACACAGGCACCCAACACAATCAGATCTCTGCTGGCTGTCTCAGCCGTCTGGGGTAAGAGTGTGGCCCAAACAAGCAACTGGGGGACAGGGTTTCTTTTTGGGGTGATGAAAATATTCTCAAATTAGATAGTGATGATAGATGCATATTTTACCTCAATAAAGCTGTTATCTAACAAAAGAGTGGCTAGAAGATTCTGGCAGAGAAGACAAGGACTTAGATCCCACGGGGGGGTCAGGGGTTGGAGGTGAACCCATAGCAGAGAGGGACATCTGCTGATTAATGGGGGCTGTGGTAGCCATAACCCTTGCTTCCCAACCACAGGTTAGAGAAAAGGGTCCTAAGAGCCTCAGCTGAGGACCTGGCCTCTGGGTCCCCAACCCAGGTGGAGCAGCTGGAGCTACAGGTGGGGCAGGAGACTGTGGTGTGCTCGGCACAGGTGGTGGGTAAGTCTCCCCTTCTGCAACAGCCCTGGTGCTCACCTCTCACCTTTCTCTTCAGGGTGGGCCAAAGGCAGAGACTTTCAGCCCCTGCAGCAAAAGGAGTCCCCAGAGATGTTCTATCCCTTATCTCTGTGCCGACGTCCTTGAACCTGGGGATGGGGTGGGCAGAGAAGGAGCAAGGGCTGAGAAAAGGGCACCAGTGACCAAGGGGCACCTTCAGCTTCTGTTTTCAAATGGTTCCTGCAGATGTTGAGAGTCCTGAATTCTGCCTGGGCCTGCAGACTCTGCTTTCTCTCAAGGTAAGGCACCCACACTCAGGGCCTGATCCAAAGCACTGGGGAAAAAGTAGTAGAAGGCACAAGTATGGAAGCCTGGACCAGGTTCTGATGAGAGTGAATTAGAGATGGGCAATTCTCGCCTTGTTTCCTTAGAGATTCCTTACTTACCACCAAGTGAAAAATCAAGAGAACTGTGTCATTCTCCTCCAACAGGAGTCTAGGGAAATGGGGATAGGAGAAGAGCAAAAGGCAGGTGGAAGCTGTGGGAAGTGGGAGGGGGAACAAATGGAGAAGGCTGGGAGGCAGGTGACAGGCTGAGGTGACCTGGCATGACTGCTCTACACCCCACAGTGCTGCATTGACCTGGAGCACAGAGTGCTGCGGCTGAAAGCCCCGTTCTCAGAGCTGCCCTTCCTACCTTTGTACCAGGAACCTGGCCAGTGACTGCAGTCTCAGTCAGTCCCCAGAGGGAAAGACCTTGACTCAGGGGAAGAGGTGTGTGGGGAAAGGAAGCTCTTGGAGCCAGGTAGCTGGGGACTACGGTGTCTGCCCTTTGAATCACCACCCTGGCCCCTGCTGTCCCATTTCTCCCTGCCGGCCACATTTCTCTCTGCTTCTTGGCAGCTGTCCATCCTACTCCCCAGGAAGAGTCTTCACTAGAGGGACCCTGATGCCAGGATTCTGATTCATTTCCCTCCCAAGAAAAGTGAAGCCAAATCAGGACCACAGATAGGAACCTAAGTAAAACAGGGTGCCTGCTTGGCCTGGGTCGAAGGCTCTGCTGACTGCTGTCCTTGCCCACTACCCAATCTCACCCCAAACATAACTCATCTTCCCACACCACCAAGTCTCTCACCACAAATTATCTCTTACAACTAGACTGCCATGCCTCACCAACCTGGGTCCCCGGACCTCCTGCAGTCTGCCTCTTAGATTCTGTACACATCTGCTCACAGTTGAGGAGGGGGAAGAAACATTAAACAGAATTCAATACAAGGCAAGGGAGTTAGTACAGGAAGGTCCATTATTAGTTACTTTTCTGGGGCTACAAATGTCTGAAGCCAGTTACTGTCTGAGTACCCTGTGCAAAACCTTAGACATACTTCTGCTATTAACACTAAGTATTTATCCTCCATCTGCTTTTTGTACCCACCAAGCCCCTGAACTTTGGGTGTGTGTGGAAAAGCCTCATAGAGAACTGCTCCTATGAAGTAGACAGGATAGTGAGGTTGTCAGCACTCAGACTTAACCTATTCAGTATTCCTTCTGATTTCTAGAACTATCCACCTCATTAGGCCTTCTCCCTATCCCCAACTCTGGTCTCTTGAGCTTAAGCTTGCCTTTTCCTGGAATCAGTGGCTTTCTAAACCCCTGCCAGGCTTTGCCAAAGCAAAAAGACGGAGGTGTTTTTTTTTTTTTTTAAGTTTGGAGTCTTGTCAGGAGACAGAGGCTTTTTGAATTCACTGTGAAGCGAAGAATCCAAACCTTAAGAAGCCACACCCTTGAGAGTCTTTCTGGCTGGTTTGAGTCTCTCAAATCATGGGTTAGGAGTAAGGCTGGGTGCAATAGCTCACACCTATAATCCCAGCACTTTGGGAGGCTCAAGTGGGCAGATCATTAGAGGTCAGGAGTTTGAGACCAGCCTCGGTAATATGGCAAAACCCCATCTCTACTAAAAAAATACAAAAATTAGCCAGGCGTGGTGGTGCGCATCTGTAATCCCAGCTACTTGGAAGGCTGAGGCACAAGAGTTGCTTGAACCTGGGAGATGGGGGTTGTAGTGAGCCAAGTTCGTGCCACTGCACTCCAGCCTGGGTGAAAGACCCTGTCTCCAAAAACAAACAAAAAGAAGGAGCAGAGAAAGACAGTGGTATAGCTAACCTGAATAGTGGAACTGGGACCCTTGGGCTGAAACAAGTCTTGAGCCTGGGGTAGACTGAGTTACAGAAGAACCGGGATACAAGGAGCTGCCCCTGACACCTGGCCTGATCTTTCTCAGCTGTCTGCCCTGTCTTTAGAAGGAAAGGAGAGGGGCTCACTTACCACGTCTACCACAGAACCTGGTCTCAAAATCCTCAAAGCTTCCCTCTCCCTCACGGCCTTGCTCCGCAAGGTCCGCTTTCCTGGGTCTTGGCCTGGGCCTTTCCTTGTCTGGCTCCTGCTGCTTCTGTAACCGCAGACCCCAGGCCCAGCGGCAAGCCCTCGGCTCAGCTGCTTCTCTACCGGAATAAACTCTTGTTTCTCTATGTCGATGATCTTCTGTGGTCTTCCTTTCTGCCTATCAAGAGCTGAATGATAACTCTGCCCATTGTCCCTTACAGAAAGGAAATGTAACGGTGGGCCCGCACTCAGGCTGACCCATCTGACTAGGGTCAATATAATTGAGAGCAATGGTTTTCTTTTTTTCTTTTTTTTTTTTCTTTTTTGAGACGGAGTTTCGCTCTTGTTACCCAGGCTGGAGTGCAATGGCATGATCTCAGCTCACCGCAACCTTTGCCTCCTGGGTTCAGGCAATTCTCCTGCCTCAGCCTCCTGAGTAGCTGGGATTACAGGCACGCGCCACCATGCCCAGCTAATTTTTTGTATTTTTAGTAGAGACGGGGTTTCACTATGTTGAACGGGATGGTCTCGATCTCTTGACCTCGTGATCCACCCGCCTCGGCCTCCCAAAGTGCTGGGATTACAGGCTTGAGCCACCGCGCCCGGCGAGAGCAATGGTTTTCAAGCTCCTCTGACTGCAGCTTACCACAGCAGGAATGCAGTTTACACAGTACTCAGTATACACATGCAAATAACGACTGCAACAAAACGGTACTTACCTACGCTGTGAGCAATGCATTCTGCTATTTTCTATTTTACTTTATTCTATTCTACCTATTTTAAAAATGCTGGCCATAATTCACCAAAGGACTGCATCCACAGTTTGAAAAACACCGATCTAGAGCACAGAGAATCAAGAACAGACAGCACATAAATGGCCTAAGATATAATTCTGATTGTGGTCTGGACCATAAACCAGCATCACATTTTAAATGTCTATTGTCTTACAGACAATAAGGTGTTTTATGGGGGAATGGATGGGTGGGAAAATGGGAGCAGAGTTTCTGAAGCTGACTAATACCTGAAGAATATGGCAATGTGAGAAAGCACTGCCCCAGGTGCTTCGGTAAATGGAGGAAAATCATCTCAGGGCTGCTAGGAACATGGGTAAGACCAGACTGTAGAATGTGCTGAAAGACCCCTCAAAACAAAAGTCTGCCATTCCTTTAATAATTACTATTGTCAGCCAGGAATGGTGGCTCACGTCTGCAATCCCAGCACTTTGGAAGGCTGAGGCGGGCGGATCATGAGGCCAGGAGTTCGACACCAGCCTGACCAACATGGTGAAACCCCATCTCTACTTAAATACAAAAATTAGCTGGGCATGCAGCCACATGCCTGTAGTCCCAGCTACTTGGGAGGCTGAGGCAGGAGAATCGCTTGAACCCGGGAGGCGGAGGTTGTGGTGAGCCAAAAGTGCACCACTGCACTCTGGCCTGGGTGACAGAGCGAGACTCCATCTCAAAAAGCAAAACTAAAACAAACAAAAAACAATGACTAATGTCACTGTGCCATGAAAAACAGAGCTGAAGATGGGGTGGAGCCCTTACCTCCACTGCTTCCCTGGGCCTAAAACCTAGTTTCCTTATGGGTGTTGGGGCCATGCAAACAAGTCTGTTTTCTACACAGCCAGAGTGGGGAGTGGGACATGTCCCAGATGATTTGGAACAAGGCCAGGGTCCTATGACCCTGCCGGTGTGATGGGCGACGTCCATAAGGAAATGGGCAGAGTCAACTTGTCTCTTCTTTCACCAAAAAGACTGCAAAGTCTATAGTTTGTGGTCACCCTAGGGCTGCTGCCATCCTTGCACGCCCAGAGTGAAATCCTGCACTTCTGTAATGCGTATTCCCTATCCTGCCAATACCACAGATACCTTTAGGGGGTAGGGTGGGGGGTTCAGAAGAATCCTTCACCAACTATGAGGCAAGTACAGCTAGGTGGGATCCTGGAGGCTTGAAGGAGTGTGCTGTGGTGGCTGGTCCGGATGGTAGAGCGTTTGGTGAAGCAGGGCACGGGCCGCAGGGAGGTCGTCAGGATCTGACAGCCAAGAGGGGATGGGTCAGAGGCTGTGGGTCTCCTGGGCACCCTGGCCACTGGCTTTCCTGGGACTCACCCACGCCGAGCTCCTGCAGCAGGCTGTGGTACTCCGGCTTGGTCTCCAGCAGTTTCATCAGATTGGTAGACTCCATCCGCTCCAGCTGCACCTCCCAGTACACATAGATCTTCTGGTTGAAAGTGACATACACGAGACAGGGGCTGTTGTGGCCCTCTTTGCAGGCGTACAAGCCTGGGAGATGTGGGCAGGGAGACAAAGGTCAGGAAGTTTCAGTGCCAGTGGTGGGGGGCAGACAGCAAGACACAGACCTCCGAGTCAGCACTTCCCATCCTCCCACTGATGTCAGGAAAAAAATTAAAGGCTCTCTTTCTTCTCTGTTAGGAACTCAGTAAAACAGGTAAGGCAGGAAAAGATCTGGCCCACTTCAGATAGAGAAAAATGATAGTAACAAAACCCAGGCAGAACAGCATCCGAAAGGTGCTGTTTGTGATTTTCCCATCGTAGTGACATCCCTGGAGTGATAAGGGATGGCCTTGCTCACCCAAGGGCGAGCTGAGCAAAACAAGATCAGAAAGTAAGGCTTCTCCTAGGGGCAATCCCTCCTTCCAAATGCATCCCCCAGCCACCCGAAGAGTGAGTGCTGCCTCCCAAGGCCCCTGATTTGGAACTAAAGAAAATGCTCGCCGGGCGCGGTGGCTCAAGCCTGTAATCCCAGCACTTTGGGAGGCCGAGGCGGGTGGATCACGAGGTCAAGAGATCGAGACCATCCTGGTCAACATGGTGAAACCCCGTCTCTACTAAAAATACAAAAAATTAGCTGGGCATGGTGGCGTGTGCCTGTAATCCCAGCTACTCAGGAGGCTGAGGCAGGAGAATTGCCTGAACCCAGGAGGCGGAGGTTGCGGTGAGCCGAGATCGCGCCATTGCACTCCAGCCTGGGTAACAAGAGCAAAACTCCATCTCAAAAAAAAAAAAAAAAAAAAAAAAAAAAATGCTCTAGGAGAACTTTCTTCACAGAGACCTGGCATGCTCAGGTGGAAAAGAACTTCCTGATGTCTTCACACATCCCAGACAGACTACAAACTCATTCCATTCTTTGAAATATTCAGGGGTGGAGATGTTAGGGTCTGTTACTATTTTCTTATTCAAAATCGTCAAGCTGGCCATGTAGTACCCACCCCTCACCCCCAAACAAAAGAGGTGAAGAACTCACTGGTTAATGAAGACTTACAGGAGGGGATACGTCAGAAAGGGAACTGAGAGGCAAACACTTCCCTGGCATAGCTAACCCGCTTATCTAACTTAAGTGTGGTTAGAAAGGGGTGGTGGGGGTGGAGTCACCTGCACAGAAGGCACGGATATTTTCATCCACTTGGAAGCGGACGACGGTGCGGTTGTGATCAATAATGTATGTCTGTCCATCCCAGGCACATGCAACTACCTCCTCGTGCCCATTGCCCTGAAAAAGGCCAGAGACAAGGCACATAAAGGAGCCGTGGACTGGACTCTGGATGACAAACAGCGAGCTGGGGGCAATTTCATTCATGGGCTGGGCAGTAAAAGGGGCTGTCAAATGAGCTCACATGATGCTCAAGCCATCCTAGGAAGTATGCAATTTTATATCGAGGAAATCTCAGCTTATAGAAATATAGTCATTCACCAAAGGCCACTCAGCTAGGAGGCAGCAGAAATCAGGATTCTGCCTCTCCTCCTAAACCAACAAGCATGCCAACAAGCATGCCTGATGGCAATAGAAAGTGTAGCCCTTACCTGCTGATTCAGGGGCCACAGTGCTATTAAACAGAGATTCATATACGGACAAGAAAAACCTACAAAATATGCCTCTGGAGTTGGGACAAATAATTCACTTCCAGGCTCTTATAGAACTTTTCTTTGGGGCCATTACTTCTGCTGAAGTTATGGAAATGACAGACTTCTAGCAGCACAGTATAGCATTAAATACGGTAGAGTAAGAGGAAACAAACTTGCTTTAGATGGATTTAGACCTATCTAAAGAGATTTAAGGCCAGGCACAGTGGCTCATGCCTGTCATCCCAACACTTTGGGAGGCCAAGACAAAAGGATTGCTTGAGCCCAAGAATTCGAAAGCATATATGGTGAGATCTCATCTTTACAAAAAATTTAGGAAAATTAGCTAAGTGTGGTGGCACATGACTGTGGTCCCAACTTCTTGGGAGGCTGAGGTGGCAGGATGGCTTGAGTATGGGAGACAAAGGTTGCAGTGAGACAAGATCGTGCCACTGCACTCTGGCCTAGGTGGCAGAGGGAAACCCCGTATCAAAAAAAAAAAAAAAAAAAAAAAAGAAAAAGAGACAGAGAGAGAGAGAGAGAGACACTAAAGATAAGGGCTGAGAGTTCCCTGGGATGTGAGAACAGGCTGATTATTCCAAATCTCATCTATGTGGAAAACTCTAGAATGCTCTGCTGTGCCAGGCTTTCCACTCACGGTGACATCCAATTTCTCCAAGGCGAAGAGCTGGTGATCAACCTGCACTGACCATAGCAGCTTGTCTGCTTCCTCCATGAGCTTCAGCGTCCCTGCGGGGAGAGGCAGGCTGAGTGTGGGCACGACAGGCCCCAAGCAGACCCCACAGGCACACAGCCCCCAACCCCATCCCAGCACTGCTCACCATCCAGAGTGCACAGGGCAAAGAGGCCAGAGCCACCACTCTCAGTGCTGTGGCCTATGGGTAGGACAGAGGGACCAGAGGAAGAAAATGTAAAGGGCAGGGCACAAGGTCAGAGCCTACAGGGAGGGGGTGGCCCACAGCAACAGGGGAAGGACAGGGCTTGACACGAGGGAGGGCTATGGATCTCTCCTCATCCAGAACTGACGGCTGCTCCCAGCTCCCCTCTCACCCACAGCCCCCCATTTTCACCTTGTTTGATGTTGCCGATCAGGTGAGTGGAGACGTTCTTGTTGTGGATACGGCCAGATGTCTGGTGCAGCACCACATCTCGGGCAGCTGGGGCCTCCCTGCGAGCAGGAGGGTGGAAGGACCAAGCAGGAGACCAAGTGAGCTGCGCTCTCCAGCCCTTATCCCTGCAAGAGCTCCTGGGATTTGAGTCAGCTTCGAAACCTACCACTGATCCCATCTGGCCCATGTGGCAAACAGAAAAGACAGGGATGGGGATGCCAGGCTGGAATCTCAGAACCTCTTTCAGGTGCCACAGGTTAGAGCTCCAGATTCCCTTGGTCCTAAAATAATCCTCCCCAGTGGTGCAAAGGTGCTTGGGCTGGGACCCAGATGAGGCAGCTCTGCCAACCACAGACACATTTTACTACCATGTGCCGTCTGGGAGCCCATCCTGTTTCCATGTACCCCACACCATCCACAGCTTGTACCCCTTTACCTACTGCCATCCATGGCCCCTTCAGAGGCAGGAGGGGACCCAGTGTCCATTTTCCAGGTACACAGCAGAATTGCATATGCACAGCCTGGCTGAGACACCATCAGTTCAGGAACACCCAGTGGCCCCAGAGTCACCGAGAGGCTGTCCACCTGCACCAGGGAATGGGATTAAAGGGAGATGGAGAGAGAAGTGGGACCCTGCAGAGAACGGGGCGGTGGCGGGCGGGGGAGGGCAGGAGTCCTGGGAATAGCCCTGAGGGCTTCAAGGGTGGCAGCAGGAGGAAGGATTTTGCGTTTCCAGGGTTCCTGCCTGGCACCGCCCTCTCCACACAGACCACGTGCTTTCCCCTGTTCATGTCCCAGCTGTGGTCTCGGTCCTCATTCTTAGCCCCACATGCCTTTCTCTTTGCCTGTCACTAGCAATCTCCCTAAGCCCCTGATTTGAAATGGTCTTTGGATCTCTCTTGACGAGGTGACTTTTCACTTCTTCCCACCCTGGCCCTGTCCCATAACTGTTCTCCCACTGCCTCCTCCAGGAGGCCTTCCTCCCAGCTCTCTGGGGCCTTGGTCTCCAGACTCAGTTTCTTACCTGACCCTCTAGCATCCATTTCTTGAGGGACACCAGCTGCCCTGTCAGATGTTCGGGACCCTCACCTAGCTCCTCCCAGCGGAAAGCTCGCACCACACGGTCTGTGTAGCCCACCACCAGCTCACAACACCCATCTCCATCTGTGGGCATGAAAGACAAGATGGGTTTTGCAGTCTCACGAGCAGCCTCTGCTCCTCTGCTAACAGTGGCACTTCCTAGCCATGCGGATTCATGCCCCGTATGCTGGGCTACTCACTTCACACTCGGTCTGCCCCGCCCCTGCCTGCGTTTGCAGCATCCTCCTCGTTCATTTGGTCCATCTGTTCTGCAGCTCCTATCCCTTCTCTGCCTTTATACTACTTCCCAAACACGCAACTCAAGTGTCCCAGTTCAGCCCATGTATCTCCCACCACCTGCAAGCCCCCTATCTGTGTGGCTCCCTTGCTTACCACCTTCGGTTTTGTTTGTTTGTTTGTTTGTTTTGAGATGGAGTTTCGCTCGTTACCCAGGCTGGAGTGCAATGGCGCGATCTCGGCTCACCACAACCTCCGCCTCCTGGGCTCAGGCAATTCTCCTGCCTCAGCCTCCTGAGTAGCTGGGATTACATGCCCAGCTAATTTTTTGTATTTTTAGTAGAGACGGGGTTTCACCATGTTGACCAGGATGGTCTCGATTTTTCGACCTCATGATCCACCCGCCTCAGCCTCCCAAAGTGCTGGGATTACAGGCTTGAGCCACCGTGCCCGGCATTTGTTTTTTTTTTTTAACCAAATGTTACCTTCTCAGTGAGGACTTCCCTACCAACTCCATTTAAAATTGCTACCTTGGCCAGGTGCAGTGGTTCACACCTGTAATTCCAGCACGTTGGGAGGCTGAGGCAGGTGGATCACGAGGTCAGGAGTTCAAGACCAGCCTGGCCAACATGGTGAAACCCAGTCTCTACTAAAGATACAAAAAGTTAGCCAGGCATGGTGGTGTGTGCCTGTAGTCCCAGCTACTGGGGAGACTGAGGCAGGAGAATCGCTTGAACTCAGGAGGCGGAGGTAGTAATCAGCCAAGATCACACCACTGCACTCCAGCCTAGGCGACAGGGCGAGACTCCGTCTCAAAAAAATAAAACAAATAAAATTGCTGCATCTATTTTGACACTCTAGCCCTTTCTGTGAATGATTTTCTCCATTACACTTACTACCTTTTTTTTTCTTTTTTTTTTGAGATGGAGTCTCTGTCACCAGGCTGGAGTGCAGTGGCACGATCTCAGCTCACTGCACCCTCTACCTCCTGGGTTCAAGCGATTCTCCTGCCCCTCAGACTTTCGAGTAGGTGGGATTACAGGCATGTGCCACCATGCTCAGCTAATTTTTGTATTTTTAGTGGAGACAGGGTTTCACCATGTTGGCCAGGCTGGTCTTGAACTCTTGACCTCAAGTGATCCGCCTGCCTCAGCCTACCAAAGCTGGGATTACAGGCGTAAACCATGGTGCCTGGCTACACTTACTACCTTTTTTTTTTTTTTTTTTTTTGAGAAGGAGTCTCTGTTACCTAGGCTAGAGTGCAGTGGCATGATCCTGGCTGACTGCAACCTCTGTCTCCCAGGTTCATTCTCCTACCTCAGCCTCCTGAGTAGCTGGGATAACAGGCGCCCGCCACCATTCCTGGCTAGTTTTTGTATTTTTAGTAGAGACAGGGTTTCACTGTGTTGGCCAGGCTGGTCTCAAACTCCTGAACTCAAGTGATCTGCCCGCCTCAACCTTCCAAAGTTCTGGGATTACAGGTGTGAGCCACCACATCCAGCTGCACACTTATTATCTTCCAATATAATACTTAATTACCTTACAAAAATTATAGTGTTTCTTTTCTATTCCTTCCTTTTTCTAATAGAGACAGGGTCCCACACTAGAGTGCAGTGGTGAGATCATAACTCACCACAGTCTCGAACTCCTGGCCTCAAGTGAGCCTCCCACCTCAGCCTCCCACAGTGTTGGTATTACAGGCAAGAGCCAGCACACCTGGCCTGTATTGTTTCTTTTCTGTCTCCTCATAATAAGGTTCAGGAGTGCAGCAATTTTTGTCTATTTATTCACCATGGCAATCCCAGTGCCTTGAGTGATGCCTGGCTTATGATGGGAGCTCAGTACATAACAAATGTAAAACTGAATGTGGACTTTCCCTCTCGCCCCAATCCCTTGGGATCTGCTCTAGTATCCACTGACTCCTGCTCTTGGCAGCCTACAGAGGTAGCCATGCCCACCGATGTCGCTGATCAGCATGACCTTGGTGTTGGCAGGGATGTGCTGCTTGAAGACTGGACGCTGCTCCTCTCCCATTGGTGTCTCGTGGTGCCCAGAAGCATCCAACACCTTGGCAGGTGTCAGGTCAAACAAATGAAACCAGCCTTCAGCACTCACTGCCACCAACAGGTTCTAGGACAAACAAAGGTATAGTAGAAACAGACTGGGGAGGGAGTTTGGGAAACATGCCTGATAATCAGATCACAGGGGTCAGAGCTGAAGCTTAAACCTTCAACTGATTTCCACTGTGAGCTAAGAATCAAGGTGAGTCCTGCCGAAGTCCCAAGGTCCCCCATAGCTCTTACCTTTCCTTTATTACAAATGTCTCCAACCCCGACGCAAGTCAGCTGCAAGAGAGAAAGGTCGGCTCAGGGAGATGCCAAGGGAGATCGGTATTCCCTGATGTCTGTGAGGCAAGAAGGAGTGGGCGGGCTTTCTCATCACCATCCTCCACTGAAAACTTGTGCCAGATAACTTATGGTGATAGTCTTTATTAACTGAGTTCCTGTGCTATAGGTTTGGTTTAACCAGATAGCAACACGAAGATCTGAGGTAGTTAAGACAATCTGGACTTCAAACAAAAACTCCATATTTAATAGAACTAGGCTATCGTATTTCTAGACTTATTCAAATTATTGCCCCCATTTTTGACTATACTTTAAGATTAGACAATCTTAGGCAGCTTCCATAAAGTGTCAAGGAGTACTCTGCTACACAAAAACACCCTGGCCCATGTATATGTGTGTGAGAACAGATGGGAGCATGTCTGGGAGCTACCCTCTCCGAATCAAATTGGCTGCAAGGCAGCAGCTGGGCCCAGTAGCTGGGGAGTCAGGACACATGGGTGAGCACCTTTGTGGGTGTTCCCTGGACAGAAGGGATCCCTTCCCCCCTCCAGGCCCAGAGAAGTGAATACTGACCATTCCCTGGCAGGAACAGGTGAGCCATGGCCGACTGTCATCATTTTTATACACAGACACCTTCCCGCTGGTGTCTCCCACCACCAATTCATTTAACTTCAAATGGAGAGAGAAGAAAGCATTAGGATGGGACTCTGTTGAACCACTTTGAGCTCTTCTCTAGTTAGCCTAACCAAGGGAAACCACAAGACCTCAACTTGTATCTTCATCAGCTTTATTAAACGTCTGGCCAGGTACAATGACTGACACTTGTAATCCCACTAATTTGGGCGGTAGAGGCGGATGGATCACTTGAGGCCAAGAGTTAGAGACCAGCCTGGGCAACAGGGCAAGACTCCATTTCTACAAAAACTTTAAAAATTTGCCATGAGGCCAGGTGCAGTGACTCACGCCTGTAATCTCAGCTCTTTGGGAGGCGGGGTGGGCAGATTGCTGGAACTCAGGAATTCAAGACCAGCCTGGCCAACATGGTGAAACCTTGTCTCTACAAAAAATATAAAAATTACCCAAGCATGGTGGCACATGCCTGTGGTCCCAGCCCCTCAGGGGGCGAGGCAGCAGAACTGCTTGAGCCTGGCAGGTAGAGGTTGCAGTGAGGGAGTCAGGAGAGGACCATTGCACTCCAACCTGGGTGACAGAGTGAGACCGTGTCTCAAAAAAAAAGAAAAAACAAATTATCCAGGTGTGCTGATGCACACCTGTAGTCCCAGCTACTCAGGAGGCTGAGGAAGGAGGATCACTTGATCCCTGGAGCATGAAGCTGCAGTGAGCCATGATTGTGCCACTGCACTCCAGCCTGGGAAACAGAACAAGATCCTGTCTCAAAAAACAAAACAAAACTATCTTTTTTTTTAGACGTAGTTTTGCTCTTGTTACCCAGGCTGGAGTGCAATGGTGTGATCTCGGCTCACCACAACCTCCACCTCCTGGGTTCAGGCAATTCTCCTGCCTCAGCCTCCCGAGTAGCTGGGATTACAGGCACGCGCCACCATGCCCAGCTAATTTTTTGTATTTTTAGTAGAGACGGGGTTTCACCATGTTGACCAGGATGGTCTCGATCTCTTGACCTTGTGATCCACCCGCCCCGGCCTCCCAAAGTGCTGGGATTACAGGCGTGAGCCACCGCGCCCGGCAAAACAAAACAATCTTTTGGGGCCAACACAACCATAGTTTCCCAGTTCTTTATTTCGATTTACGGGTATGTACATAAGGGGTAGGAGAGGTTACAGGAATTGGGGCTACACACAATCTATTGCCTATCCCAGAAAAGTATGCCACTTGAACAGCTCTAGGCTCCACGTGCCCGACTTCAGCTCTTCCAATCTGCCCATTACATATGGGACATGTTGGCTCGTTTTCCTAACACTTTGGGAGGCCAGTGAGGGTGGATCATGAGGTCAGGAGTTCAAGACCAGCCTGTCCAAGATGGTGAAACCTGGTCTCTACTAAAAGTTACAAAAAAATTAGCCGGGTGTAGTGGCAGGCATCTGTAATCCCAGCTACTCAGGAGGCTGAGGCAGGAGGATCGCTTGAACCCAGGAGGCGAAGGTTGAGCTGAGATCCCGCCACAGCAGCCCAGCCTAGGCGACAGAGCAAGACTCCAACTCAAAAAAAAACAAGAAAGCAAAAAAACAAAAAAACAAAAAAATAGGGACATACTTTGAAAACAGCCCAAGATGATGGAGTTTTAGAGAATCTAACTTCAGACCTCATATTTAATCAGGAGCCAAATAAAAAGACAATATGAGCTCTTGGGGCCCTCCATCCTCTAGCAAGGTCTTTGGATCTTGACGTGTATGTGGGAACCAGAAAGGATGGTGGGGCCTGAGGGGGCTGCTCCCCATTCTGGGCTTCCAGTGCCCTCAAGTGGTGGCTAAGCTCTAAGGAAGGGAGGTCCTTGTCTGGAGCTCCACCACTCGTATCTGGGTAGCTGCCCTTTCCAGGGCTCATGTTGTTAACCAAATGGCTTCAAACCTCACTTCTGCAAACTGATTTATGATCTCCTCTTGGGGGTATAGCCAACATCCCCTTCCTGTCCCCAGAATACACTGAACTAATATTATACTCTCAAGAAATTTAGTTCTGGCTGGGTGCATCACCTGAGGTCGGGAGCTCAAGACTAGCAGGGCCACCATGGCAAAACCCTGTCTCTATTAACAACACAAAATTAGGCTGGCATGGTGACTCATGTCTATAATCCCAGCACTTTGGGAGGCCAAGGCAGGTGGATCACGAGGTCAGGAGATCGAGACCAGCCTGACCAATGTGGTGAAACCCTACCTCTACTAAAAATACAAAAATTATCTGGGTGTGGTGGTGCACACCTGTAGTCCCAGCTACCTGGGAGGCTGAGGCAGGGGAATCACTTGAACCCGGGAGGTGAAGGTTGCAGTGAGCCAAGATTGCAACACCACACTCTAGCCTGGTGACACAGCAAGACTCCTTTTCAAACAAAACAAAAACAAAATCAGCTGGGTGTGCTGGCACATGCCTGTAATCCCAGCTGCTCTGGAGGCTGAGGCAGGAGAATCGCTAGAACCCAGGAGGTGGAGGTTGTGGTGAGACAAGTTTGCGCCATTGTACTCCAGCCAGGGTAGTAAGAGTGAAACTCCGTCTCAAAACCAAAAAAATTTAGTTCTAAAGGTAACAGAGGTAACAGGTAAACAGTAAGGAAAAGTTAGAAACGAATTGGAATTTATTCGAATCTTTGACTTCTGGCTGGGCGTGGTGTCTCATGCCTGTAATCCCAGCACTTTGGGAGGCTGAGGCAGGAGAATCACTTGAACCTGGGAGGCGGAGCTTACAGTGAGCTGAGATTGCATCACTGCACTCCAACCTGGGTGACAATAGCAAAGCTCCATCTCAAAAAAAAAAAAAAATTCTTTCATTTATTTTTTAATTGTTATGGGAGTTTCTGGTGAGAATATCAGATCCCAGAAGCATAAAACTACTATTTTTTTCATCAAACCTTCTATTACTTGACTTTTGTTTAATTTTAATTTAATTTTATTTTTAAAGATGGGGATTTCACCATTTGGTGAGGCTGATCTTGAACTTCCGACTTAAGGTGATCTGCCTGCCTTGGCCTCCAAAGTGCTTGGATTACAGGTGTGAACCATCACACTCAGCCTTGACGTTTCTTATGTCTATTTTTTTTTTTTTTTTTTTGAGACAGGGTCTCACTCTGTTGTCCAAGCTGGAGTGCAGTAGTGTGATCACGGCTCACTGCAGCCTCAACTTCCTAGGCTCAAGTAATCCTCCCGAGGAGCTGGGACTACAGCTGGGCACCGCCATACCTGGCTAATTTTTTTCTATGTTTTGTAAAGACGGGGGTCTCACTGTGTTGCTCAGGCTGGTCTCGAGCTTCTAGGCTCAAATGACCCTTTTATCTCAGCCTCCCAAAATACTGGGATTACAGGTGTGAGCCACTATGCCTGGCCTTGATGTTTCAATTGTGGCTGCCCTGAGAACTTTTGCAGATACCCAGGAGAGGGGCTGCAGAGCACAGGGGTTCAGAGTGCAACTGTCTGGATTGGAATCTAGCTTTTTCTGCCTAAATTTTCTCATTGAGAAAATGAGGATGATGAGTATCTACGTCATAAAGTGGTTGTGAGAATTGAGCTAACAGAGGAAAGCATTTAGAAATGGTGATTGGCATTTAGAGAGGACTACTAATACTAGCTGTTTTTCAGCCTCTAGTTAAACTCCAAGGCTGGGGAAGTTTAATACAATTCATTCTTTTTTAAAAATAAAATACAGGCCGGGCGCGGTGGCTCAAGCCTGTAATCACAGCACTTTGGGAGGCCAAGGCGGGTGGATCACGAGGTCAAGAGATCGAGACCATCCTGGTCAACATGGTGAAACCCCGTCTCTACTAAAAATACAAAAAATTAGCTGGGCAAGGTGGCGCGTGCCTGTAATCCCAGCTACTCAGGAGGCTGAGGCAGGAGAATTGCCTGAACCCAGGAGGCGGAGGTTGCGGTGAGCCGAGATCGTGCCATTGCACTTCAGCCTGGGTAATAAAAGCAAAACTCCGTCTCAAAAAAAAAAAAAAAAAAAAAAAAATTTGAGCCAGGTGTGGTAGCTCATGCCTGTAATCCCAGCACTTTGGGAGGCTGAGGCAGGCAAATCATGAGGTCAGAGGTTCAAGACCAGCCTGACCAACATGGTGAAACCCCATCTCTACTAAAAATACAACAATTAGCTGGGTGTTGTGGTGCATGCCTGTAATCCCAGCTACTCGGGAGTTGGTGGCATTTATCTTTGTACCCCCAACTTTACCGGAAAACTCAGAGGCTGGCTGGGCATTCTCTTTCATTCTGACTTCTGTTTCTTAAAAAAATTTTTTTTGTTATGTGTTCATTAAATAAATATTCAGGGCCCAGCATAGTGGCTCATGCCTATAATCCCAGCTGAGGACATGGGAGGCTGAGGCCAGAGATGTACTTTGAGGCCACACATTCAAGACCAATCTGGGTAAATGGCAAGACCCCATCTCTACAAAAAACTTAAAAATAAACAAACCAACATGGTTTGTGGGCCTACTACATACTATGGCATTCATTTGGATAAATGTTTTGTGGTTTTTTTTTTTTTTGAGACAGAGTCTCACTCCGTTGCTCAGGCTGTAGTGCAGTGGCTCCATCTCACTGCAATCTCCATTTCTCAGGTTCAAGCGATTCTTCTGCCTGGGCCTCCCTAGTAGCTGGGATTACAAGTGTGTGCCACTATGCTCAGCTAATTTTTTCATATTTTTAGCAGAGATGGTTTTACCATGTTGGCCAGGCTGGTCTTGAACTTTTGACCTCAAATGATCCATCCACCTTGGTCTCCAAAAGTGCTGGGATTACAGGCATGAGCCACACACCCAGCCGAATGTTGTTTTTTTGTTTTTGTTTTTGTTTTTTTTTTTAAAGACAGAGTCTCACTCTCTTGCCCAGGCTGGAGTGCAGTGGCATGATTTCGGCTCACTGCAACCTCCACCTCCTGGGATCAAGCGATTCTCCTGCCTCAGCCTCCTGAGTAGCTGGGATTACAGGTGTGCACCACAACACAAGGCTAATTTTTGTATTTTTAGTAGAGACAGGGTTTCGCTATGTTGGCCAGGCTAGTCTTGAACTCCTGACCTCAGGTGATCCACCTGCCTTGGCCTCCCAAAGTGCTGGGATTACAAGCGTGAGCCACCACGCCTGGCCAGTGCCTACATTGTTCTAAGTGTTGAGAATATAGCAGTGGGAAAAAACAGATTAAAACATTCCTATCCTTATGGAGTTTAATGTAACAGAGCTTACAACTCATGTGGAAAAAATGGTAGTATATCTAATATTGTAGAAGTGAATGTGTAATAGTGTAACTCATTTTAAAAAGCACAATTTCAAAAAAGCTGGTGCTATAAAGCTATGTAAAAAAGGAAACGCTTTTAAACAAAGAAGGCAATCAGATAAAATGGAAAATAACATATAACTGAAGCCACTTTGTTAATTTACTATTTAAAATGTGGCCAGGTGAGGTTGCTTACACCTGTATTCCCAGCACTTTGGGACACTAAGGCCAGTGGACTGCTTGAAGCCAGAGGTTTTGAGACCAGCCTGGTTAACACAGTGAGACATCATCTCTACAAAACATTAAAAAAAATCAGCCAGACATGGTGGGATGCACCTGTAGTCCCAGCTACACAGGAGGCTGAGGCAGTAGATCAGTTGAGCCCAGGAGTTCAAGGCTGCAGTGAGCTATGACTGTACCACTGCATTCCAGCCTGGGCAACAGAGTGAGACCCTGTGTTTATAAAAAACAAAAAATTGGCCAGGAGCAGTGGCTCATGCCTGTAATCCCAGCACTCTGGGAGGCCAAGGCAGGTGGATCACCTGAGGTTGGGAGTTCAAGACCAGCCTGACCAACATGGAGAAACCCCATCCACTAAAAATACGAAATAAGCCAGGCGTGGTGGTGCATGCCTGTAATCCCAGCTACTTGGGAGGTTGAGGCAAAAGAATTGTTTGAACTTGGGAGGCAGAGGTTGCAGACAGCCAAGATCACACCATTGCACTCCAGCCTGGGCAGCAAGAGTAAAACTCTGTCTTAAAAATAATAATAGTAATAATCATTTTTTAAAAATGCCTCCTCTGATTTTCTCATAAAATTAAAAACTGCTTGGCAGTTCATGAAGAAACATGAAAGCCCAGAAAACAAAATACAAATTTATGAGAATAACTCTTCTCCCCAGAGGGGCTAGAGCCAAAAGAGGCCTCATAAAATACCCTCTCCATCACAGCACTAGGGGGCGGTGGGAAATAAAGATATTTTAGCCTTTGTCTTGTGGGGGCGGGGAGCACAGGACAGTTAAGGAAGTGTGAAGCAGGGAGGCAGAGTAGGAAGAGAGGGCAGAGGGCAGAAGACAGCAGTACAGTGCTTTGCATCAGAAATATGAAATAGATAATAAATACAAAGAAAAGTCTGCAAAAAAAAAAAAAAAAAAAAGAGCATCGGACACTATTCCCTTTAATGCTCCACTGGAGAATCCTCTACATATTTTAGTCAATGTATCTCATTACATTTTATTATTCTGTGACTATCACTCAACTTGATTATGAGCTACCTGAGGACTGGAACTCTCTCGTCCATTTATGAATTCCCAGATTGGTGCATAATGAGCAGTTCAATAAAGATTTGCAGAAAAACAGAATAAAACACTAACAAAAACAATAATGCTAACACTGAAATGGGCAATAAACTGCGTGACAGACATTGTTTTACCTGCTTGACCTGCGGTAATTGATTTAAAAAACCAGAAGAAGGGCATGTCCCTATAGCTCATGCCTGTAGTCCCAACACTTTTGGGAGGTCCAGGTGGGCAGAACACGAGGTCAGGAATTTGAGACCAGCCTGGCCAACATGGTGAAACCCCATCTCTACTAAAAATGCAAAAATTAGCCAGGTATGGTGGCAGGCGCCTGTAATCCCAGCTGCTTGGGAGGCTGAGGCAGGAGAATCGCTTGAGCCCGGGAGGGTGGCGGAGATTGCAGTGAGCTGAGATCAAGTCACTGCACTCCAGCCTGGGTGACAGAGCAAGACTCCGTCTCAAAAAAAAAAAGAAAAGAAAAGAAAAAAAAAGAGAGAGAGAGAAAAGAAGAAGAACTGCTGAGGAGAGGAGGTAGATGGAGATTGCTTCTGTAATTCAACGAAGATGCAGCACAAGTAACCAGATACCTGCATCTATTATGAGGCAGGCACTGAAGAAACTGGACCTTATTAACACTGGGTTGTGTGGGTGATTGTTGCTCCTGCGGTAGAGCGAGGCAGGGAAATACCCTAGTCTATTCCAGCAGAGTGCTCCAAGTGTAACAGCAGCAGACATGAGTTTGGATAGAGTCTTTAATTCTGTGACGGTAGGAGGAGGCTCAGAGAAGTCTTTGGAGGGGCGGAGCCACAGGCAGAACGGCATTATTATTTCCACTTTACGGCTCTGAAAGTAAGTGATTTTTTTTTTTTTTCCAAACCGAGGCTGTCTCAGTAGCCCAGGCTGGAGTGCAGTGGGCGTGATCTCGGCTCACTGCAAACTCCGCCTCCCGGGTTCAAGCGATTCTCGTGCCTCAGCTCCCAAGGAGCAGGGATTTGAGGCGCGTACCACCACACCCGGCTAATTTTCTATTTTTAGTAGAGACAGGGGTTTCACCATGTTGGCCAAGCTGGTCTCGAACTCCTGGCCTCGAGTGATCCGCCCGCCTTGGCTTCTCAAAGTGCTGGGATTATAGGCGTGAGCCACCACGCCCGGCCAAGGTAAGTGATTTGAGAGGTGACGCCACTAAAAGAAGCTTAACTTAGAAGCACTGATCCAGAAAACTTGGCCACCAGTTTATCAGTCTCCTCCAGTGAACACGTTCCTGAATCAGGCCGAGGGATCAAACTATGTATCCCACTCAAAAAATACTACCAGGGACCGGACGCGGTGGCTCACGCCTGGGATCCCAGCACTTTGGGAGGCCGAGGCCGGTGGATCACCTGAGGTCAGCAGTTTGAGACCAGCCCGATCAACATGGCGAAGCCCCTGTCTCTACTAAAAGTACAAAAATTAGCCGGGCGTGGTGGCGGGCGCCTGTAATCCCAGCTACTCAGGATGCTGAGGCAGCAGAATCGCTTGAACCCAGGAGGTGGTGGTGGCAGTGAGCCAAGATCGCGCCGCTGCACTCCAGTCTGGGTGACAGAGCGAGACTCTTGTCTCAAAAAAACAAAACAAAAGCAGGGAACAAAACCAACCAAGGACACTGAAGCTATCAATAAAGTTTTTCTCTTTAGCGCTCCACACTAGCCCCAGCGCGCATGCTCAAGTTCACGTGGCACGCTCGGCCGGCCTCTTCCACTTCCCTTGCCCGGTCCCTGCACAGATCCAGGACGTCCCTTGCAGTGCGCATGCCCTTACCGTATCGTTATCGACGTCTCCAAGGCAGATTGCGTGCGGGAAAAGGCTCCCGCTGAAGTCCAGCGCCACGCGCTGCACATAGCTCACTGACCTCATGGCACTTCCAAGAGCAGAGGGAGCGTGGAGCCCCAGTAAATATTCCCTAAACCTCCGTCGCCACAGCCGCCAGAGTGGAAGGCCACCTAAGGCAGAAAGTTACGTCACTGCCTGAGCCTCCAATCTCTGTCTTCCTCCGGGTCTTCCGGACTTGGAGGCGGGCTTACCACCTCTGAATGTGAGTGACAGGCCCGCGGGCCACTCCTTTTCTCCACAGGGCTGCAGCCCATGGGTAAACCAACCCTGACGTGGCCGATCTGTTCCCTTGGCAACAGGGCTACCTAGGGCTTGACCTAATAACCTTGACCCTTTTTCTTTTTTTCCCTGGCAATGAAGACTCCTAGCCCTCAGATCATTCCTGAGAATCTTACTAATCTTTGTAATAACTGATAACTGCATGGTTTCGAAGAGTATTTTTTAAATACTACCCATTAGGAGTGAAAACAATGTAGTGAGTAGCAAGCAGCATATAAAAAATTAAATACAATAGAATATTCCGAGTGACTCCCAAGTAGTAAGTATAGTTTTTATGAAATCCCTGTTTCAATTGTAGATACTTATATCTGTATAGTGGCTTATAATGTGAAAACAAATTTTATTTATTTATTTTTACAGTGTATGTGCTTTCTGGTCAATAGTTTAAAAGCCACCTGCTGCAAAGCGCATTTCACATATTTCACATAATTAGTTCAGCCACTATGTCAGCTTGTTTTTTTTTTTTTTTTTTTTTTGGTAAAGGAAAACAGGTTCAGCAAGATTAAGTAAAATGGCAGAAGAAGGGTTGTGGGCGGGGTACGTGCTCAAACAAGAATTGTTTGATCCCAAACCCCAGGGCCTTTCCATCATTTACTACCGTAGTTCCTAGGAAAGTCTTCAGGCTGGAATTGAAGGTTGCCTGGATTCTGGGTCTGCTCTGTTTTGTGGCCGTCCCCAGCACAAAGCTCTTGCATCTCAGTGGCCTTACTCTTGTAGCACAGATGGAACCATCACTCTCATGGCTGGCTTCTTAGGATACTGTCTTTCCATGTTGAATCCAGTCCTGCCTTTCTTTGGGGCACTTCATCAATGAGGGCAATGTAAGTATTATTTATGAAATTGTATAGGTGTTCAATACATTTTTAGATTTAGATCTATAAACCCAGACTAACTCATACTTGATGTTTCAAAAAAAATTGTGATACCCACCTTCTCTGGGATTTTGGACCAGGGGCTGTTCCTTTTCCTTTTTTGTTTTTTGAGAGTCCTGCTCTGTTGCCCAGGCTGGAGTACAGTGGTGCTATCTGGGCTTACTGCAACCTCCACCTTCCAGGCTCAAGAGATTCTCATGCCTCGCCCACCTGAGTAGGTGGGATTACAGGTGTGAGCCACCATGCCCGGCCTGTTCCTATTTTCTATGTCTGTACATAGTGGGAGGAGGCTGGAGGGCAGGACCTTTTATTCTGGGGAAGGTGGTGGCAGATTTTTTCCTAGATGTCCCAATGGATCTGACAGCCAGATAAGGTAAGAAAGAACATCAGATCAGAATAGTGAACTGGAGGAAGTCTAGATAAATACTGGAGACTGCAGATATATTCTGAGGCTGAACTCTGTTACAAGCTCATATTTGTGGTTGGGTACTGTGGGGATGGCCAGGTCCATTAAAAGGCACTGGGTCTGGCTAGGCTTGGTGGCTCACGCCAGTAATCCCAGCACTTTGGGAAGCCAAGGCGGGTGGATCATGAGGTGAGGAGATCGAGACCATCCTGGTCAACATGGAGAAACCCCATCTCTACTAAAAATACAAAAAATATTAGCTGGGTTTTGTGGCTTGTGCCTGTAATCCCAGCTACTCGGGAGGCTGAGGCACAAGAACCGCTTCAACCTAGGAGGCGGAGTGAGCCAAGATCACACCACTGTGCTCTAGCCTGGCACCAGAGCAAGACTCAGTCACACACACACACACACAGAGGCACCGGGTCCCTCAGGTATTCCTGTGTTTCTGGTGCATTGAATACATTTTCTCATCTACAAAGCAGTTGCATGCCCTCTCATCCTGTGTTCTACCCCATCTCTAGTCTCTCATCCTAGTTCAAACCCTAAGCTTCATATTAGGTTTTAAGGGGTGGGAAAACCAAAATCAATATCAAAATGTTCACCTCTAGGGTGGCTGTGGAGGCTCATGCCCATAATTCCAGCACTTTTGGAGGCTGAGACAGGCATATCTCTCGAGCTCAGGAGTTCAAGACCAGCCTGGACAAAATGGTGAAACCGTGACTCCACCAAAAATACAAAAATTAGCTGGGCATGGTGGTGCACGCCTGTGATCTCAGCTACTCAGGAGGCTGAGGTGGGAAGATCTCCTGAGCCCAGGAGGCAGAGGTTGCGGTGAGTCAGGATGCTGCCACTGCACTCCAGGTTGGGTGACAGACTCTGTCTCAAAAAAAAAAAAAAAAAAAAAAAAATTTTACCTCTAAAGTGTTTTTTTGTTTTTGTTTTTTTTCCTTTTTTGAGATGGAGTTTAGCTCTTTTTGCCCATGCTGGAGTGCAGTGGCACGATCTCAGCTCACTGCAACCTCTCCCTCCCAGGTATAAGCGATTCTCCTGCCTCAGCCTCCCAAGTAGCTAGGACTACAGGTGGGTGCCACCACACCCAGCTAATTTATGTATATTTTTTAGTAGAGACAGGGTTTCACCATGTTGGCCAGGATGGTCTTGATCCTTTGACCGTGTGATCTGCCCGCCTTGGCCTCCCAAAGTGCTGGGATTACAGGCGTGAGCCATGGTGTCCAGCCCTGTTAAGTGGTTTTAAAAGAAATATATTACTAAATAACTCAGAACAAGAGATGAGATGACCTAGCTTCTGTCATCAAGTGCCTTGGCCTAACCAGTTATCTGAGATCAGCCCCTGACCCAGCATTCCCCAATGGCCTTAGTTTTATCTTCCTCATCATTTGGGTATCTTGGTCTGGATATTTCTGTGATAGGGGGTGTCTGTTTTTAATTGTAGAGTATGTTTGCCATGAAAATCATGTAATTATGATCACAACTTCTAGATCATGCTTTTTGGCTTTTGTCAGGAGAGCCAAATAAAGTTAGAAAGGGAGGAAAGATAGATATCCAAGAAATAGGGATAAGTCGAGTCCTTCCATGCCTGTGCCTCTCCTCACCTTGCATCAGTTACTTTAAGTGCAGTGAGTGTTTTGTATGACTAGGCATTGCAGAACCATATGGACAGATCCCTGGCTCCACAAAGAGCACTCCTGTTTTTGGCCCCTTTCTAGTTGGATGGTTGCTAGGTCTCTTTGGGCACCATCTAAATTCCATCTTGTCTAAGTGAAGCACTCTTTCAGCTGGTTTTTGTCTTACTTCCCAGAACTGTCTAGTTGGGTTATCTTCCTAGTTAGGTGACACGGATACAGTTGTGTGGGTGGCATATTCTTTACAAACAATAGAAATCTCCGTAGGAGGAGATGAGGGGATTAAATGGGAAGCATTTCTAGGAAGATTTAGTCCACTTCATCCTCCAACAGTAGACGGAGTGGTCTTATCCAAGTTGTTTGCCCAGAGTGCCCAGGTAAGAGACAGAGTCTCAAAAGATCTTTTAAAACATGAGGCCCAGAGCCTCACCACCCTGGGGGCAGGGCCCAGGGCTTCTTAATGGGCTCGGTTTGGCTTATATCACCTCTTCCCCCTTCCCTCTCTTATTCATGGTACACCTTAGCATATTAAAATGTTGGAAAAGTTAGAAACTGGGCAGAGTAGTGTGGGGCTGCTCTTCGCTGAGTGAAATGCTGTTATTCAAAGCTCCACTTAGTCTTACTCCCTTAGTCATGTTTGGCCCTATTAAAAAGCACCACCAACTCTGGGAAGCTTTGATCCTAAAACTAACTTGTGAGGGTGGTCTGCTCGAGACTACTGATGGATGAGAGGTTCACTGTCACTCTGTCACTTAAACATTACGAAAGAGGCTTAAAACACAAAGAATGAGGAAGATGTTTTGGAACTAGGTAACACTGTAAAGACTAAATGCCACCAAACAGTTGAATTTAACATGGTTAACTTCATTTCACCTAAAAATGTGAATTTCACCTAAAAAAATACAAATCATTTTATATCTGAGGCACTTCTAAGAGTGAAACAGGAGACTGAAGATCCTGTAGAATATGCATGTCTTGTGGATAGATGAATATGGCTGATTCTTTCTTCTAGCCAAAGGATCCTAAACATTCACAAAAGCATTGCTTTTTCTTGATCATCACTGAGACCATTCACTCTTACTTTGCCTCTCAAATTGGTGTAGTGTGGCTGGGCGCAGTGGCTCACGCCTGTAATCCCAACATTTTGGGAGGCCGAGGCAGGCAGATCACCTGAGGTTAGGAGTTCAAGACCAGCCTGATCAATATGGTGAAACCCCATCTCTACTCAAAATACAAAAATGAGATTGCGCCATTGCACTCCATCCTGAGTGACAAGAACAATATGCTGTCAAAAAAAAAAAAAAAAAAAAAATTTAGCTGGGCATGGTGCTGTGTGCCTGTAGTCCCAGGTACTCTGGAGGCTGAGTTGGGAGGATCTCCTGAGCCCAGGGAGTTGAAGGTGCAGTGAGCTGTGATTGCACCACTGCACTAAGCCTGGGCAAGGAGACCTGTTTAAAAAAAAGAAAAAGAAAAAAATAGGCCGGGCACAGTGACTCATGTCTGTAATCCCAGCACGTTGGGAGGCTGAGGCGGGTGGATCACTGGAGGTCAGGAGTTCAAGACCAGCCTGATCAATATGGTGAAACCCCATCTCTACTAAAAATGCAAAAATGAGCCAGTTGTGGTAGTGCCTGCAGTCCCAGCAACTCAAGAGGCTGAGACAGAATTGCTTGAACTGGGGATGTGGAAGTTGCAACAAGCTGAGATTCACTGCACACCACTCCAGTCAACAGAGCGAGACTGTCTCCAAAAGAAAAAAGAAAATTAAATTTTAAAGAATTGGTACAGTGTCATTCAGTACAGTATAAATTAGTGTTTTTATGATTCCCAGATTTTCTAACTGGGGATAATGCATCCACATTATCTGAGGTTGGCAAACAACTAGGGAACTGTAGCCATAAGGCAACAATAATGAATTCCAGAAAGTGAACCAATTTTCCTAACTTACAATGTCTACACTCTTACATTGGTTTTATTCAGCATTGTC